GTGTACAATCGCCTTGCGGAATCCGCGGATTGAAAGTGAACGTGGTGGACGCGTTAGAACGGAGCGAGGCGATGAATTTACACGGGCCGGGGAGAGCGAGAGAGACGTAGAGAGAACGGGCCGATTGGGGTACGCGCCGTCGAGGTTACGGAAAACATACTCCGCCTAATCGATGAAGTGGTATCGGCCTCGTGTGTATACGAGGTGAATTCTTGATTTAGATAAATCCACAGTGTAAGAAACGCAGCGAATGCAAAACGCTATCGTGACTCGATTGAAAGTTAAGGCGCACGAGAAATGTCTTGCCCTATTGATCGATAAAGCTGTTATATCAGTCCGCGATCGCGTTTTCTCACACTGAAATAGTTTTCAATAGTATTAAAATTTACGTGAGAAAAAGAAAAAGAGAAACAAGAAATCACAAATTAGCTAATTATTTCGCTCGTCTTTCTCAGGGTCTTTTTCGAACGAAAGCTTTTTTTGTTCTCGCGGCTTCGTGGCAAACGTATGATTTATTTCCTGCCAGTAAAACGAATAAATTACCATAAGACCGACGAAAGTTTTCATCGGGAATAAGATTCGAGGAGCGAGCGTGCACTGTGCGTACCTGATGCGTGCGTGCTCGTTGCTTGTACGTGTGCGTATGTATGTGTGATTGAATGCATGCGTGTGTGCACGCCGTCACACGTGTGCGGCGACCGAGTATACGTCTTTAAGCCGAACGAACTCTCTTCTCGTTACTCGCGATTCCCAACGAGCAGATTAGAAATTCGTGACTTCGCTGGAACGATATATACTCGCTCGACTACTCGCGATGGAAAACGTTGCGCAAAAGGGATCGAAAATTGCGTTACCGCGCGGCCGTTTTCGGGCGGAATTTCGCGCGGCTTTTTCGATTTCGCGCGCCTATCCGCTCGTGCGGAAACGCTTGCGAGTGGAAAGTGATCGAATGTGGCAAAATTCGATGATAAAACCAGTTCGCTCTCGTTGTCATTGCTATCGAGATGCAAAAACGACAGGGGGGAGGGAGAGACAGGAAGGCGCGCAGGATGCGGCAAGCAGCGAAAGTCCTGTCTTTATTGCGGTCTTCGAAGCGACTCGCTTTAATGCTCGCGTTCCTCATTTTTTTATAGATCCTTTTCTCTGTTCACTCAAATGAATCTGAGAACTCATCAGCCGCGTGTTATTTATTCTTCGTGGCGATATCACTACGTTTATATAACTAATAAATATTGAAGATGTTAGCACCTCGAATTCATCATTTTAAGGATAATGAATGCCTCGAAACTTTTTCTTGAAGCTATCTCGGACCGAGATGTGCATGAGCTGTGTCGTAAGAGAACAATGATATTTTAACTGCGGGCAGGAGCTGACAGCTCCTGCTAAATAAACACTGTGATTATGGTCGATGAGGCAATACAAATTTCATTAAATTCGCCGAATTGTCGCGGCGCTTCGCTTTCTTTGCTTTCGAGGAGCGTAACGCGCCACAGAGATCCAATATTACGCTCGAAATTAATAAAACATATAGATACATTAGTGCGTTTCACCGAAAGATTAAAAACGTTTCTCGTACGAGGCAACGTTCAACGTCACGAGAATTTTGCAAGATCGGTAGCTACGCGAATCTTACGTCGAAATGAGAAAAAAAATTAAAAAATTCATTTTTTTTTTTCAAATTCGTTCGATCTCCACGATTACGCAGCTCCGGCGATAGTGGAGAACGTAATTTGTAGCGCATAACGCAAACATGATGAAAAGGTGATCAAACCTGTCTCTCTCGGCTCCGCTCGTTTTTCGCTAATCCCTCATGAAACCCACCGTCCTCACATCGACTGGCACTTGAAATGTAAAAACTCACAAGTATATCGTTACGATTACGAATGGGAGGTACGGAGCACCTCGTCGTGCGAGATTGACGGTGACGTGCGCCCGGAAAAATGCCCGCCGTGCGGTTTTTCGGTGGGACCGCGGACGACGGAGACGAGACGACGGTTTTTCGTTTACGGGTGCGGGGCGAGATCGCGGCGTCCGGTCCGGCCAGAAGACTGCGCGATGGAAGTGGAAAAGCCACCAGCAGGAGCGTTGCGCTCCGACCACCATCGTCAGGTTGAGAGCTTTCTACGACCGACGATGAGGCCGGAGGAGGGAGTCGAACGGCGCATTGGCGTCTTCGGGGCCCGATCGGGGCATAGGCGTAAATTCCTCTGGAGGCTTAAGGACCCCGGAGAGAAAGGCATCGGAGAGAGAGAGACTTGGGCGAGCAGGCACGGCACGTAGAAAGACACCTGCGTCGCCACCTGACAGAACGAGACGCTCTCGCGCTCTCGCTATACGCCACGCAGAGCCCGGGTTCGATATCGATATATGCGCTGTAAGGTCATTGCTGCGTGCGGCAGCACGCAATCCGTGATATTTGCTCTCGCGGCCTGCGATAGTCATCGGATCAATCCGCGGCACCGCTTCGCAACGAGCCACCCAGACGTATAATTACAACGAGCCCGACATATGTGAATGATTATAGTCGCGTTCTGTTTGATGTCAATTGATAATCTATGGCAATTATGGATGGTTAAGTATTGCTGGCGCTCGAGCTTCGTGAGCGATCCAAGCGCGACAAATGGATGACAGATAGGAGTGGAATAATCGGTCGAGTATCGGTTAAATGAATAGTTAAATTTTTATGACATTTATAATGCGATTCGACACCTATTGTCACGATAGCTTTGCGTTCTATTTTAGAGAAGATGGAGAGAGGGTAGGGGTGGGAGGGACGCATTCTATCAAAGGTCTCTCACTGCCTTCGGGGTATTCCGTATCCGACGCGGTCCCTTCGTCATCTGTCACTGACCTGAAACCTAGCGTGCACACACCACGAAGGATACCGTATGAGAGATCAATCAGAGGAGCCGAGTGAAAGTGGAACGTCGGACGTTAATATCTTGACAAAGGATGCCGGGGAATAGTCGTAGGCGACACGCATGCCTTCGGGGATGTTTCAAGCGATAGGTAATGATCCCGCGTGTGATCGCGACACCGCGACACCGCGGCGAATCCTGGTGAAATGTAGGAAGCTGATTTTCCACCGTTGACGCGGATGTCTTTCGTAATCCTCCACACGTGGAGAGACACCGCGCACGGCCGTTGTCGGGTTTTTCATAAATTATCTTCAGGGTCGCGGATCAAGTGGATAGCGTTGCCGATACCGAAGGGAGTAAACCGGATCTCCGGGCGACAGTCGGGCGATTAAAGCACCGCTAATAAGCGAACATTAAACACGCAGAATTTGCATATATGCTACTTATCGACGAGTGACATTTAAAGAAAATAGCGATACATCATCTGCGACGAAGATTTCTTCGGGAATAATCGTTATGAAGTGGTTGCGAGGATTGTCATACTCCCGACATTACGTCACGTCGCGCACAAAAGATTCATCGCATTCGTACTTTAATAGACAATGAAACACGTCTAATAATTTATCTCAATACATCTATATTCGCATAGCGTAAAGTTTATTTATACTGCTAGTTATAAATAGGAAAAAATTCTAACAGGTTGACGTACGTTTACAGCTTCTTTGTTTATTCGTTAGAGACAAACTCCGCTGTCAACCGAGCAGATTTAATTGCCTTTGTTGCTAATTGTTGGAATCAAATAAATTATACACGAACGCTGAGAGAAAAATTTCGTTTGTTTTCAAGAGAATTGAAAATTTCATCAATAATTCACGAAGTCTCGAGTCGTGGATTCTCGCTGCAAAGAAAGGAGCGTCTGACCTCGTGTCACAGGTTTGTCCACTCCTACGAGGTCCACGGCACTTTCTTGACCACTCGAGAAGTCGACGCGAGTCCTTTCTTCCTCTATTACCAGCCACCAAGGACGACGCTTCTCGTTCCTCGTTTTCTCCATTTTTCTCTTTTTGCTCGAATTGCGAGCTCGCTATGCTCGCAATCGTGGGGGCTTTCTTCGCGCGGAAGGCCGAGCACGTGAAATCAGGTTCGGTTTTTTGTAAGGCTCGAAAGGTTGTCGTCCTTAATGATTTTTATGTCTTAATTTGATTTATTTAAGGTGTTTTATTGCGCGAGAGCGCAACATTATCTTCGACAAACATAACTGCGCGCTTTCCACGCTCCAATTATCGTATATACTTCAACATAAATCATAGGCTGTACTCCACTGAGCTTTAATTTAATATTTTAATTTGCAATTTTTCTATCTATATCTTCTCAATGTATATCGGAATACAACCGACCGGATGGGACATTGTAAATAGCATATTAAAAGTATAGGAGTCGATCAATTCTCCCGTCACTTTTACTATCGTCGTCGTTAAGACCGTCTCCATTTAACGGAATAGCGTTTAATCGCGTTATCCTTGGGATTCTATATAAAAATGCGTTTTTATGCGGAAGAATCTATAATCGAGTCTGATAAATCGACGACAATAAAGGCTACATCGGCAATTTAATGATCTGCAGAAGTATTCAATTGCGCGAACGTGATAAGCTATAAAAATAAGGAAGCGTATTCCTGGATCGAATAAGGTCGAAATTACGAAAGAGACTATAGCACTGCGGGTGTTCCGCGTAACGAGACGCGCATGCAAAATGCAAACGGAAAACTGTAACATCGCAGCTAGTGTCTAAGAGAGAAAGATAGAGAAGAGGGTGGGGTTCGGCTGGTCAGCCACGACGAGCTCTCACTTTCTATTGTCCGATCATGCCAAGAAATTGTCGGGCATGAATTTGATTTAACACTCTTGCCGTGAACAGCACTCCTTCGATTACAACAATTTCGCAATTAATTCCTCGATTAAAATGGATATTTGTATTTTTTAATTTCACGATTTCTTTTTGCAGTATACATTTTTTGATAAACACTTCTCGGAAATTTCGTGCAAAATGTAGCGTTAGAAATATGGTTGAAAATGATGTATTTTTTTAATTTCGTGAAAATGTAATTGTTCATTTTATAGAGAACCGTAGAGAAATTTTTAATTCTTTTTGTAAATTCTATTTTATTTAACAGCGATAAATAAAGCAGATATCTCTGTTATTATTCCTGCATCGGCAAACTAGGGATTCGCGAGTTATTTTCACCTTCCTTCACAGAGTTATATCCTTGTTGACGTTACGCGTTCGCGAGAAGCTTATATATAAAAGAGTTTATTAATGTACATACAACACTATTTATATAAAAAATATAGGAGTTGTTAGATCTTATTTCCATTCACGTCTCTGTAAAGCTCGTCGTTGTTGCCGTAAAGTCTCGGTGAATCTTGGCAGTCGACCTATTAAAATTAATTGAAAGAGAATCGAGAATTAATTTAAAATAATATTGTATGCCTCTAAATCCTGTGTATATAATTTAATTACCTTAAACCACCAGTCACAAACGCGAGTGGTTTGACTAAATACTGTACCGTTCGGGCAAAGGAAACTAAACTGACGTCCATTTGGTAAGCACCAATGCCACACCTTGAATGAAAAAGAAAAAAATATCAACTCTTTTTATAATTATTAATTTATTATGATTTTCCCAATTTAATTCAAGTTAAACTCTCCAATATTTTAAATTTAGAAATAAAACCTAAATTTATATTATTCTCCAAGCAATATTCGATATTGTATATATTTAATAATCAACTTGTTTGTTTAAAATTAATCTCACGTTAGTTCTCTCTTTTAATTTAATTTGTTAATGAGATCAATAGGTTTTCATTAAGTATATGATACAACTAAATGCATTTAAATAATCTCGAAATATTAAAATGAGAACTTGTTCGGTGACCATATGGACGCACCTGACATCTGGCTTCGGGATCGGCATAGTATCCAGGTAGCTTCCCTCCACAGGTAAACGCAAGTCCAAACGGCACTGTATTGTAAATTGGATAGTCCACGCCAGGTGTGTAACCATCCACTTGCTGCAACGCATAAATAATTAAGTATGTGGCTTGTAGAAGATAATTATTCTTTTTTTTTTTTAACAGCTGTCACCGATTCAACCGCAAATCGTTTTCCTTGATGAAATGAATCCTTTATGAATCTTTATTTTAATTTTTTTTTTAAGTGATTACATAATTATCACACTCTATTTGGGGCGTACATACGTTCTAATTTGCATTGCAAATTACGGTGGTTGCATCGAAACAATTAGCGAAAACAGTGGAACTTGGAGAAGCACAACCACGTAGAATCACTGTTATTGTTCTGTTGAACAATAACAATACGTTTCGACATATATCATCTTGACAATGGAATATGGCATGAATGTGAACACATGCCGTAAATCGGGCTTCCTCTCTCTTTAACGCGAGCACGCATGTTCAGCCCTAATTAGCTTACATCAATAAATATTATAATTTATTTCTTTGCATTAATTATCACATGCAAAGCAATGCAACGGTTATATAAAAGTGTCCTTTTAATGATGCCCTATATTACACAAAAATTGCTCTATTTGAAATATTATTTTTAATGTTTTAAATAAATTATTATTTTCTCAAGCATTTTGATTAAACTATGTATTAGAATAAATTAGAGCGACATTAAAAGTATTAATCTTTTTACAACCGATATTAAATTAATTAGCATTATTTAACAATGTTAATACATCAATGTTTTCCGGTGCTTCACTTTAGGGCTAGAAATAGAACGCGATACAAGAGCGTTTTCGTAATTGGCCATCAGTCAAAACGAGAAAAAATAAAGAGGCAGTTGCGACACGGCGCGTCGGTTCGAAACCGTTCAGTGCGTGCACGTGCCAATGTTTGACCGGAAGTCGGGTTACATTGTTCCTCCCTAGCGGATGCGCATCTCCGCGGCTTTGTATGCGATCTCTTGTTTACGATTTCACGTGTACGTATGCAGATGTATGGTCCCTTCCGTCTTCACCCGCCGAATCTAACTGGTTGACTTCAACGCGCGTGGTGAAAAGCCCGGAAAAGGTTGTCTAGTTACGTTGCACTTTTATTTCCAAGGAATATATGCCACAGTGTCAAAGTTTAAGCGGATCCGTGCGATGCATATTTAATGAAAATATTTAAGCATAAACGTAGCAAAATTACAGTCGCGTATAGTTCAAAGAAAAAGATAATTTTAATAAATTAAAATTCTTACTCGGGTATAAATAAATTTTGCTTGTGAAAAAAAAAATCGAGTTTTTGTCATTACAGAATGACGTTGTGAATGATGTCGTTAGTCGAAGCAGGATAGTGCGAACATTGCATAAATTAATTGACTGGTCTTATCTTTCCGTTTGTTAGCTTCGTGGCATTGAAGCTGCGTTTTATTTCTCGGCTTATTATTCTCTATCCCGATTTTCATCGGTTTCGCGTTCATCATTTCCGGTGAAATATGTCTTTTAGCTGCTAATTGCAGGATCGGATGCGACGAGCCCGAATGTACACATGCATTGTCTACTTTTCATTAAAAAATTTTAATTCAATATAATATTTTACAAATACAAATATTATAATGTGTTACAAATATAAATATTTTTCGATATTACATAATAATTTGAATACAAATAAGTTGAATATTTTTGAATAGAAATAAGAAAACGTGACAACGGCTAATTAACCACGTGTTACTTTTTTTCAGAGATCTCGTACTATTGTAATTGTAATAACGAAATCATGAGACGTTTCGAATTTCGGCATTGTAGAGATATTCATGAGTTGCACTTTAGAATTCGTCCGGATTAAATTCAGAACAGACTTCGTCTAACGAGGCGCTTCGTGCGCGGACGAGAGAACATGTTCGTGTAACACCGAGTTAATTAATGAATTACTTCATGTTACCACCTTAAGAGAAAGATGATGCGTGCAGGCACGGTTCAGTCGCTGTTATTGTTACGCGATACACCGTGAGAAGTGACGATGAAAATGATAATTTTAATATACGTAGGTAGGTTTTGTAAAAGTGGAGTATTTACGAAATATTTCCCCCGCCATCGCGTCATGCATATTGCGTAATTATCGTGTGATACAATCTTTCTCATGGATTCATAAAAAAATTTTTTTTGACAATCGCAATATTTGCGAGTTTTGAGAAACGGTTTGCAGGAAGATTGAATGACTACTAGGAACTTTTACTTTTAACTTACCGCCATTGCTTCATAAAGTAAAAACGCGCCGAGAAGCAAAAGGGAAGCGCAGATTATCTGGTACCTTGAAATCATCTAAAAAATTGAAAATTTAATTATTCGATAATATTAACGCACATAAATTAAAAGTATATGAATAAATATTTTTTACAGATACAAATAGACTTAAATTTACAAATATTTGTTTTATTAATTTCATTGTTATACAATTTCAAAGTGTTACTGTGGATTATTTTTGACAATGAAAAATACTCGAAATTAGTGAAAAAGAGACGGGGTGGAGGATTAATTGCAAGTGATTTGCTTACCTTTTCGAAAAATCTGATCCCCTTAGTCCGCAGTGTCGTGCTGCGTGGTGATCATTTATCTTTCCGTGTTCCCTGTCCCTTCAGTTTTTCGTGTACCGCACTTACTCGATTTGCTTCGGGTTCGTAAGGCGATGCTACTTCCAAAGTATCTTTCTCAAAGGATTGTTCCACGAGGTGGTGGTATATATATGGCTTTAGACATCAGCCGGGCAAAAGGGGGGACTCTTGAGAGTCTCTCTTTCTTGGGGCTCCCACATCAGACGAACGGAGAAAGAGAAGATCCCAGAGCGGTGGAAGGAGGGATGTTCTTCTGTGGTGCAGCAGATTCTTCTTACGCAATCGTCTTTCGTGCTCTAACACCCGTGAAAATATTCGTAACCATCGTACTTGAACCGCTGTGATACCTATGCTCTTCTTTCTGTCTCCCTCGGAGATATGCATATAGTCCGAATAGAAGAAGTCCAAATAATTAAAATTTTTTATTCTTTTTGCATCTGGATCTTTATGGAAATTTGTTAAACTTTTTATAAAATTTTATTCAAACTTTTTAGTTATTTTATTATAATAAGGCAAAAAAAAAACGCAAAAGGGCTAAGGCCCTTTTTTGAGTAATGTACCACTCCGAAATGTTAAATCTATCGAAAAATTTTAAAGGAGGCTTAATCAAGATATACTCAATGAATTAGCTACTTAGGAGTTATGTATCTAATTATCCTCGCTGTCTTAGAATTGCAAACGACTAAGCGAAATGCCAGTTATGCAAGTAAAAATATAGTTCGCACCTGAAGATAAGGAATTAAATTGCAAGATAAAAAATTCGCAATTTAATTTACATCTCGCACTAATGAGAAGGCAACATTTTTTTTTATTAGTGTTATGAGTACAGCTTCTAAACTGATATAAGTGGCAAAGAAGGGATCTAGATAGCACAGAGAATTCGATAAGATTTTAGTCGTATGTTATTAATTCTGACAATGAGTTAATTTTCAGATGCAAAAAGAATTTGATTTCTAGAAGTTCTAAAAAAAAATTCTTTTTACATTTGAACACAAAATGAACACAAAATTGATGACATACGACTGAATATACGAATGCATTCTTTTTGAACTTTCTATGCTATCTGGAATATTATACATATATATCGACCGCAAATTCTTGTTTTTGTAACGTCAGTCCAGCGTTTTTCCACTTCGTCAGAATATGATTGACGTATTATTTTGTTACATAAGCGATCAAATACTCTTAGCTCGCGATCTTAGATCGTATCGTTAATTACTGTTTTGTACGTCCACGCTGGAGAGGGTTGAGATCAGCGCGCTGATCTCTTCAGATACGATCCTTTTTTTCCCCTTTTTTTTCATTTTAGATTTTTCCGCGAAACGGAAATGCCCGTCAGCAGGTCGGACCCCGAAATGATTTGTTCTTATCGTGCGAGATACATCCAAGGTTGCGCTGTCGCGCAACGCTCACGCTCGTCCGTCATAACACAATTCAACAAAATGTGAATCTGCGTCGTTCTGCCTCTTATTGCTCCTTGAAATTCTCGCGATGGTACAATGGCGTGATGTGGCGTACGCCATTCTTGGTTTTGGCAACTAACACTTTCACCCCGAATCACAATGACACAGTCCCATCAGTATTGCTATATCTGTTAACGTGCTAATGCTGTGTTATGTACGTTAATCCTTTAATAACCGCGAGTGGTGTGCGCGCATTTATCTAACATATTTAATGTATAATTGCGTACTTTGACGAAGATATTTCGAGATCTTTAATTTCTAAAGTTCTTTTGGAGGTACTAAATGTCCTCATCGCTTTTATTAATCTGTGGGACAACGATGACATTTGCGACAAGATTTACGCGATTTCGTTATGTGACGCGTGCGCGAATAACTGTATACGTATTTCAGGAAAGTATCTTCATAAGCGCATCAAAGACATGACCCTGATGATACATCGCGCAGAATTAAGAAATCGCGAGTCGCATCTCGCGCGAGGTCGAGCTCATTCATTTGCATTCTGCTGCATGCGCGCCAGCATCTTCCGCTCCGAACCCCCTCATTTTCGAAACGCGTTTCGTGCCAATTAACGATGGATAATTGACACCTCCGAGCTTTTGCAGATTGACATGTAAACTCAGAGGAAAATTAGACATCCGGCGGTTACGGGTCGCCGGTGACGATACGTCACGAATTATATGGCATTGTTTTGCCTTTGAAGCAAAAACTTTAAGTATCGTTTTAATCTTTCATAATCGTATCAGTTTAGGTTGTAAAAGACTGATTATATCTTTTAATTTTTTAATATTATATATTTAACGTAAGTTAAATTATTATAAGTTTAACGAAGGCTCCTCTGTGTAAAAAAGGATAAATAAATTCAGTAGTTTTTTACGCCATACGGAGCAATTCTTTAAATTGCGTGCGTTACGTCTCGTCGATTTTGTATTATTAAAACATCGCGTTATATACATATATATACACATACAGACACACAATAATATAACGTGCGTTTCAAGAACAACAGGAAACAAACACTAGGAGAGCGCATCCCTTCTCTCCTTACGGCCGATTTCGCACGGATCGTATTGCAGCTCGCGTTGCGTGCGGATGCGGAGTGCCCACAGACCGCGGGCGCGCAGACTGTTGTTCTTAATTAAATTATCTGTCTACTAGCTAATTAGATATTGAATCGATTGCAAAATAAACGTGACAACCGTGGGAAGATCTCTTTGTTACTTTTACGCGCGAACGAGACTGACGCTGGAAAAACACCGAGGAAGAAAATGCCCCTCCTTTTCCAATAACTCAGTCATGAGCACATCGTTTATGTTCTAAAATAGTCATCATTTAAATTTACGCTGAGAAATCGTTGAGCTGTAAAACGCGGGAGAGAGATAATCCAGAAATAAAAGATAAAGTCCATGACAACCGTTTAAATAATTTTCTTAGAAAGAATTTGTTGTTCGGTGATCTCTGGGAATTCTCGAATCGAGTCCTTATCGATGGTTTAGAAACATCGTTGCATTTCTTTCTAATAATAGCTGGAGTATGATGCCTGAGAAATGTAAGAAGATATACTCCGAAGGAATGTTTCTCGCACAGGCATTCGCGCGGCCCAGCATCTTCGCACGATCCGCTCCGCGGTGTATAATCCCCCGCAATTTCATAACGCCCCGACTTCCGAGCGTCTTCTTTCCTGTCGCCGGATGCCAACAAAGAGAGGCATGAAAGTTATTCTCACGTTTTTACCGCCGAGCGTCAAATAATTCATCGCGGATCGGCGATAGTTTCTGAAAGAGAATCCGAGAGATTTCTGAAAGATTTGTTGATCGGTCGACGATAAGTCCGGTGATATAACAAATAAGCATTACGACACGCATGCCGTCGTATTAATATATTTTTAGCTTCTCGAGGGGAGGGGGAGGAATGAATTGGCGGGAGCGTTTCCATTCATTGTTTCCATCTACGGCTACATCGTTTCATATATTAATTGCAGGTCGCTCATTTAATTGCGAATCTTGCGTATATTTTATTACGTCATATTACGCAATGCGATTACGATTGATATCTGTGTGAAAGATGAAAAAGGGGCGAACTGAGAGAGATGCGTAGATTTGGCGAAGGATTGTAACATTTTGGCCTAAACAATTGCTAAATTTTGTTTCTCTCGCCATTAAAATTTCCGACGCTGTTGCGCATTGTTTCTATCGCATAAATTTGATTGTGTTTTACTTATTTAAGTATAAATAAAAAAAAGGATTACAATGGACAGTGAACGTCAGGAAGTTGCAACAGCGCTAATGACTCTCATTATTACTGAATTTTATATATTGAAAACCGTAACTTCAGATACGTTTGAAAAAATTGTTATAATTTTTATAAATAACTAAAATTATTATACTTTCTGTACACGTGCGTGTATGCGTGTATATGTAGACATGTGACTAAACTAAATATTCCATGTGATGCGCATTCTGTGATAATTCAAGATCAGAGCCCTCGATCTTGAAGCCGAATCTGAAAAGTTCCGCTTCCTCGTCGGCGATCGTGATTACTCTCAGCGGCGCGGCGTTCAGGCCTTATCGCCCGTGTCGCACCTCAGGTTTATTGCAGGTGTACTTCAGCCTCATACGTAGAGGCATTCGCGTACGTAACGTGTGTACGTGTACACCTATATCTCGTGGCTCGTTCCGTTTTATCAGTAGCGTGATTCCGAACGAACGAACGGTGCGCGGCGCGCGCTGTCCCACATTTTCAGTCGCACGTACACGACAGTGCATACCGCAGGTGCCTGTCAATCGTTCTCTCCTAGAAATTCCGGTCTCGGATCCGCGCCGAGAGATCCGCGGATTCGCCGTGCAGAACCGCGGCGCGTCTCGTCGCACGCGGATGCACCGTCGCCGGCGTCCGTCGTCCAGCACGGACGCGACAATGTTTCCGGAAGCGTGGGCTTTTTCAGCCGCCGCCGCCGCCGCCGCCGTCGCTCGCCGCAGGTGCGTCGAACGGTAAGAGATCGAGATCGGCCCGATTGCACCTGGGTGGAATTAACGCACGCCACACACTCGAAGCCACCTCGATTTAGAACGTGCTGTATACGTATACGTGTGTATATGTGTGTATGTGTGTGCCTTCGTCAATCATGTCAACCGTCGCCGGGCGCAGAGAAGTGAAGGTAAATAGTTGAAGGTAATCCACCGCGTTTTTTTTTATATTCAATGCTCTCCGATCCGATTTCTTTTTTCGAATCGCGGCGCGAGTGGTAGCGCGCGATCGTTATACAGATCGATCTTTTCGTCCGAACGGATCTGTGATTTCTCGCGATAAAGAGCATCGCGTTTGTGTTTCGTCGCGCGTTGCGACTTGCCGCAACTCGACTTCGATCGGGTCCGACGGCTCGCGACGATCATTGTAAGTAACATGCGGCTATTGTTTAAATTAACGATCGATGCCGCGCTCGACGTGGCTATCGTAAATTTTTCGCCCGATAGTCTCGCTCCCGTCGTGCTTATGCAATTGCACGCATCCCTGCGTTTGCGCCGACAAACGATAAGTCGCTCCACGTTGAGTAATTGCGCGTATTTTTCTCGCGTCGAATATTTAACAATGATTCAGTCGTAAATCTATGATACCTGGTGTGTGCCGTCTTTATCGCGGATAACTCTGCGAGATATGATAAAAACGGTTCAATAATCACGATGACGCACTTGGTTATTGTTTGAAGAAAAATAATAATGTCAAATAATAATCCTCGCGAATCAATGATCGGTGAATCACTCGCACCCGCACTCGCATGATTGAAAAACCGTTGAAGAATGCAGGCGATTTCTTTCTTTAACTGTACCGTGTTAAAACCGTCATTATAAATAAAATGTATATCCTTACACTCTTATCTCATTGATAACGTTCTCTATCTGAAGTTTGAACTTGTGTAACATCAAGTGTTTTATCGCTATGTTTTACGAGCCGTGGCAAAACAGTTTTAACTGCAAAAATGAAGAAGCTCATAAAGAAAAGAAAAACAAGAATTCTGTCGGAATCATTGTCCGGTTCCGTCTGAGTTATTCATCGTTGCGTATCGTATGAGCGTCGACGTAATGAAGCATATAAATACGCAAATAAAATGCACCAGTTTTTATCGGACGCCATATGGAACGATTTTTTCTGCGGTTAAATTCCACCGGCTTACTTTATCAGAGATCTTAATATATTACGATAGAAAAGAGATATGCTTGTATTTTTAAGAATTCATATTAATACGATTTGATTGTCGACGCGACACACCGTCAGGTTTTTCCCCAACGAATTCAATCCGCCGCGCCGCACCGTTCGAATTCCGTGAGTACGTATGCGTGGCACGCATCGTTAGAACTCCTTCGTGACACGACCGTAATAGCTTCCGGTCAGACATCCAGCGGCGCTCGTTTCCGGTTTCCCACCCTACCACGTGCATGAAAAGGGGAATTGGTTGATTTCGCGTTGTCAGATGTAATCGCCGGCCAAATATTGTATAACGTCGTGTTAATTTCCGCGGCGTTTGCGACTTTTTCTCTTTCAACAAGCGCGAATATCGCGCCGGTGTGTCGACGAGAATGCTGGCAAATATCCGCAACGTGCCGCATTATACGGGCAGCGCGATTGTCCGCGCCATTAGAGTGTTTTTGACGTTTTTTTTTTATTAGTAATTTTCTTTATTATCTCATATTATATAAGAAGCTGAGATTCTGCAAAGTATCGTCGAGCAGTGTAACGGAAAGCTAGGAAACCGTAATAACGAGCAGCGATTCCATTTCATCTGCTAACGCTACCGTTATCAAGCATCCCAAGAACCTTCTCCTTTTGCCGCTCACGTACGTGCACACGGGTGCTAATTAATTATCGAGGTGCCTTCTAATTTCTCGATGGTATGCGCGATAATAATGGGTTTAACATGCGAGCGTCTGTTTAACGCGACGGTGATTCCGTCGCGCCGATAAGAGAATATATAATACTTGCGTGAAGCGTATATTTTAGAAAATCTTGTTTTTACAAGACACCCGTTAAGTCGCTCGCACTTAACAGTCCTGCTATTGTACGCGGGTGTAACTCGACGACAGGTGTACAGATACAGACTACGTACAGGGCGTCCCGTAAAATGCATTCCTCTCTTACCCGCTATTTTCCGTGCCACTTTTAGATTTGTTTTTTTTCTAACTTGTTTAAAAAAATTTCTGCAATGCACGAATAATGACTGTAAAATGCAACGTATGTCCGAATAGCGATCTTTTTAATAGAATTAATTTTAGTACATATTTATTTAGTACATATTTTTAGTAAATATTTTTTAACGCTAAATAAAATTAGTTTGTGAGAAACCACATACTATTGTAAAGGAAGTATAAGATTTTATTTAAAGAATTTTGTTAGATAGTGATTTGTAATTGTATTAGCGTGATTGTAATTTTTACAATTCTACATTTGCATTTTCAATTGCATAGGTTGGAACTTTTATTTAACGCATTCTTGAAATAACGCTGGCGAATGCCTCGTAAGCGCGAAGCTGAACAACAGAAACACGCCACACCTGTAACCGACGGAATACATTAATGAATCCTTCCTCACCTGACTATCGGTCACTTGACTCATTTCCTGTGGACTGAAAGAACCCCCCCGGTACGTTTAAAATCGCCGATACAATTGCATCCCGCGCATCCGCTGTCGGGATGTAATCACGGGGACGCGAACAAAAACCCGTCATTGTCGCTACGCGTATTGCAGAGAACAGTGAAAGTTAAAACAGTGAACGTCTGACTGTTGTATAAAATTTTTTTTCGTACGTTTATTTATTATAACATAACGAGTAATTTGGAAAGTAATTGGACTTTCAGTACGTAAAATTTAACATATTGAATATTAAAAAATTATGGCTTAAAGTAATTATAAAGAAAAAAAAACGAACGAGTAAGTAATTATCGTTTAAAGTGGCAATACGTGTATAATACAAGAACAATAAGATCGGAATAATAAGCGCAATAATTATTAATTCTCTTATATGTTATAACGCGGTAAATAAAGGTTCTGTCCGTGCAATTTCGCTGTAAATAGTACAAATATACGGTTCGGTGTGCAGTGAAGTGGAAGAAAGGAAGAAAAGGAGGCTCTTCGTGGCACCAGTACGATGCAAGGTGCAACACGTGCTGCCCGACAGCTGTTTTCCGGTTTAAATTTGGACGTTAAGTCCATTTTTAATTTCGCGCCCGGGCGCACCTTCAAATAATAATAATTACAACGTGACACGGGGTGAATCCTCCCTGTGTCTGCCGCAAACTCGCGAGCCATTCATCGAAACGCGCGGTTTATTCATGTACGAAGGGAATGCGACTCGGCGGAAGTAGATCATCGTAAGAATTGGAGGCATCTTCTTCGGTATCCCCTTTTGCTTGAAGATTATAGGAGCTGCGAACAGCGTAAAAGAATGATGCATCCAGATCGGCAAATTATTTACAGGTAGTCTGTTATTTCTGCCCGATGTAAGAAACGAGAGAAAAAGGCAAGTGGAAGCGGCAAATGTTTGTATAATCGTCTAGCCATGGAGGACGAAGACTTTGGTTTCGCGAAGAGGACGGATAATGTCCTGAAGAAGGTCTTCACCGTTAGCAATGCGCAAACACACAAGGATACAGTTCATAACGTTGAGCAACTAATCTATTCCCCACCTAAGGTTGGTTTCTTACTCGTGTACGATAAAAAGAATTTTTATAGGATCCCATTACGAATAATAATTAATGTCTAACATAAACCGTCAGGAAGATAGATTTATTTATCCCGAGATAAGCCTATAAGAGATGCACTTTCACATTACGATCTGCTTACGACTATAATAACATTTCCAGTGTATATAATGATTTTTAATATGTTTTTAACAGGAAATAAATATAAATCTTTATTAATTGTATCTTCTAAATATTTAAAAAAAATCACTAAAATAGATATATATTTGAATGCGATAACAACAGAGAGATTCCTAAGAGATATTCTTTAAGTTTTGTAAAATGGTGACATGGAGCGTTGTAAAATTTACAAAACGCGTTGTGGAAATATGAAAGTGGATTGACGTTTACAACTTAATAAAATGCAATTAGACATCGGAAGTCGTTGGTGGAGGTGGATCAACGACACCAGCGCCTCTGATCGGGGCCGGAAGCGAGGGCCCCGAACGCGCGTCAACCGCCGCTGGCTCAGTCGTGCCCAACACGCCGAACATACCGAACGTGGTGGAGTACCATCTTAAAGTCAAGCCTAGGTCAACGACAAGGCATTGCCGGCTCGATAACGTTCCCGTGAGTAGCGTTTTAAGTCTCTCTCTCGTGGAGAACGCAGGTAGAATGACGCGCTTGGGATTATTGGCTGCGAGAGGATTTGCCGTTTCCATTAGCGTTATTTATCATTAGAATGTTTGCTGAGTATACGAAGCGTTGTTTGTTGTAAATTGTCCCGTTAGTCTACCACTTTGTGTTTCGCTTCTTCTTCATTCAAATTCAGGACGCACTCGCATTCTTTTCCTCTCCGTTAGATTAGATTACAAATGATCGCTCCTGGATCTTTTAAAATTTCATCCTTATTGTTAGATAATTAATATACTCGTGCATTAAGAAACGTGAATTTGAAACAGAGGGACCAGCCTCAGGAAGAAATGAAGAAGGAGAAGAGTCCGGTGTCTTCTGACGATAAGAAGAAAGATCTTGTATCGAAGCTGTCACGTCTGTCCATCGACAATAATGTTTTCGAGGGCTCTACTGATTTACCGCAAGTATTTCAGGTACAATTTTAAATTTTTTAAATAGAGTTTAAACTTTTCTTCATATTCACTCTATCTGCAGCTCTAATTAAATATGAGTCAGGACATAATATCACTCTGCGACACGATGACACTGCATAATGATAGATAAACACTCATATAATTTATGTACACATTTTATCTATTTTATATAATGTATAAAAATAATTTTTTAGAAAAGAAGAAAACATTTTAGATTTTAAAGCATTAAATTAAAAGTTTAATTAGTGTTTTTAATATTTAAAAATTTTTAAATAAAATAAAATTTTTAACTGAAAATTAAATAATCTATTTGGCACGATTTTTTCACAATTAGTATTGTAATTTTTTTCTTTCTTGCTGAAAGAAAGACGCGTCATTAAGAAACGCAATTTCAAAGCTTTGTTCCAAGAATTTATCCTTAGCGAGGCCCGTTGCGTATTCGAGTATTTTTAGGCGAACCGTTTTCAGGTGAAATATTTGGGATCCCATGATGCAAGAGGCCTCTGGGGTATCAAGCACACGAGAAGACCTGTCGATAATATGGTCTCCGCCGCGAAGGCTCTGCCGACCAACACAATGCTCCCGCTTATCAAGCTGGTAGTCTCTCAGGAAGGAGTTGCCTTGCTACCGCTAGACAAGAGGAAGCAGGACGCCAAGAATTTATCCAGAATGTATCCAATCGAGACGATTTCCTACGGAGTGCAGGATCTCGTTTACACCAGAGTCTTCTCTATGATCGTCGTTCGCGAGACGGAGAACTTTAGGAGAATCTCACCGTTCGAATGTCACGGTTTTGTCTGCGAGTCCAAGTACTACGCGAGGCAATTGACATACGCCCTCGCGGCAGCCTTCGAGATTTACTCCAAGAACGTAAAGGCTCAGGAGAAGCTGACCGGAGTCACCGTGAACAACACCGCCAGAAAGAGATTCGCGATCGATCTGAGAAGCCCGGAGGAAATCGAGGCGGACCTTACGATGGATTCCGAAGCGTAACTTTCAAAATTTATTATTATTTATTAGATTAAAATACAAGTAGATATAAATTTCTTATCAGAAAAATTTAAGGCAGGGATAATTTTTAGTTTAGAAGAGGTCTACACGAAGAAAATGAAAAAAAGTTCAAAAACAATGAGCTTGGCGTACATTTCGAAAATCTATTTCGAAATATACGAGATTGTTTTATATAACGCGCGATGTAAAATAGATTATTATATACCTCAAATAATATTTTTTTGAAAAGGACAGTGCAGGGTAGAAAGTAGTTTTAGATTTTCAAAAAGATACATTATTCGCATTTTTGTTACAATAAGAGGATATATTTGTATTATTCAATCAGAGATTTTTAATTTTCCAGATATTCTTTAGTTTTCATACACGGTGTTGAAATCGAATTTAGAGAAATATATATTTGTTACAGTAACTAATCTGACATAAAAAAGAAAATTTAATATATCTCGTTGGCATAAATTGAAAATAGATTGAAATGCATTTAGTAAATATGCTGTAAATGAAACAAATCGGTAGATAAGTTTATGTAAATAGTTACAGATACAATTATAATCATTATATTGAGTAAATAATTATTTTTTATTAATATCGCGGATTTACAGCGCACTTTTTATATAATTTTCAAAAAGGGATAATTTTCCACGTCAGAAGAAATATATTTTAGTACATACATCTTTTCTAATACAAATCGATTCATTTAATTAATATTCAAAATTGCATCTATATGTGCACTACGAATTAGTGCGTCAATTCGAAGATGAAAAAAAATATTTATCGTCAAAGCGTTGTTATGTGAATATGTGTGTTTGTATAATTGTTGCTTGTTTTATTATTTTATCGGCATTGTGAAAAGTTAGGTAGGTCTCGACTGTCCGAGACATGATAGCTAGCTATCCAAAGATATCGAATAGAAAAAACGAATGGAACGCGAGAGTTGTGAATCACACTTCAAACGTCGCGACTTGTGCGATTTCATAAAAATTTTACGATGATGATTGACGAATCGGACAATGATTTTGGATCTATTTCTAGCTGTCTTACGTGTGCATGTGTGTTTCCAGTTTAAGGTTTTATTATTACTCTAAACTCTTTAAAGCTATATAACATTATAACAAACGGAATCTATGATAGCAACAGAGAAATCGTATCGTTACTTAATGCACTTTTTATATTTTTTTAATTGTTTTATATTAAGTTCACGAAAGACCAATATCAATACATATCAATCACTGTAAATAGATAGTGTTGCCAACACTTTTTTTAATTGTGTACATATTTTGCTTATTTAATAAGTTCTTTCTTTGATTTTTTTTTTTAATACGTTTGCGAGATTATCGCGTCACGATTTTTACACATTTTAGGCTTGGGACAATCGTGTAACGTTTTTCCTCGTACAATCGTGGTCTTGCGCTTCAGCTATCAGTATTAAGTGTATATTTCCTGTACTTATGTTAGTCATAACAAATATTTACATGATTTTTATTACTTATTATTTTATTATTTTATCATTTTCATTACTTCAACGTATAAGATCTTCAATGCAGATAACGTGTGCATTTTTTTTTTCTTGGAATATATGTACGAATGCAACAGTAAGAGATATTGTTAATTTCTTTCCAGTATCTTTTATTCGAATAATTACATATATGAACATTTAATGTAATTTTACACATAATTATGTAATTGCACATAATTACGACTTACGTTTTACTATTTTGCTGGTATTGTACAAAATTTTATTTTACACATATCACGTAATTAATTTGTGAAATGACGTATTTTACATTGTACATGTAACAATAATTTAAATTTTAGTTCTATTTGCATTATAAAGCACTACTATTATAAAGGTTCTTGCGAGGCAAATGTATAAGCGAGTATCTTATATTCTAAATGAGCATTTAGTCAACTTTGATTGAGGCAAGCTAAAATTTCTTTTAACCGAGATTGGCAAATCACCATATTTTATAAAGCAATCTCTTTTAAATGAGATGCAGAAAAAGAGATATTCCTCTTAATAAAACTGGTACGTCTCTCGACTTAGCAATCTCGAATTTTTCGGGAGTGACTTTTTCGAGATCGTTTCCACTTCAGGTTCCAAAATCTTCGTCGCATTTTTCTTCCCTCGATTTTGATCCGCCTCTTCTTCTTCTTCCACCTCCTTTCCAATGTCCTCGTTCAGAGAGTAATATTTTTCCGATTCCTCGCACGGTATCGAACTTTCTGTATGTGTGCACACGAACGTCGCCTGCAAATAAATCAGAATATTATAGTGTCTCTGATTTAAACCAAATAAAAAAAAATAAATTGCCACTTGTATGTATTTAATATCAATATAAGAGCATCTTGATTTTTTCTTTTCTTTTTACTTGGTTGAAGACTGTCTCGGCGGGGCAAATGAAGCTCCATCTAATTGAGCCCCTTGTTTGCGGCATGCACACGTGAAACACTTGGCATCCGTTCTCCATGTCGGCATAATAACCGTAAATTCTGTCCTGGCACGAAAACGTGTCGACGATGTTCTCGCGAATGAGCGTCGCGTTGTCGGGGAGCCGCAAGCCGCCAGTTTTAGATTCCTAAGAAAATTTGGAAAATTCGATTATTTTGAATCGCGTATGCAATAATCTGTGAAGACTTCATTGGCGAAGACGAAATACAAAAATATCGACGTTTCATAAAGACCTTGAATACTGGAGTAGGTCTCTTGGATTTCGGCTGCTGCGGCAAGCTCAGAGCTATCGCGAGAAGACCGAGAAGTAACACGGCGAAGAGCTCCTCCCGCGTCATGATGTTAATGAGATAATTTTATCGTCGCGGAATACGCGTGTCTTCCTGCGCGTGTTATCACTCCGAGCGCTGGTGGTCCCTCGTCACACTGCGGTCGGTTCCTCGGCAGATGTGACGTTTTATTGTAGTTCTGTGTTCGGGGATCTTGAGAAGACTGATGATGTGATTCGCAGAAGGGTGTTATATAGCGAACTGCGCGTAAAGATCTTGAATATTGTATGAATGACCGATTCTCGGTACATTGAAATCAGTAAATCCATCACGTTTGGTCTGCCAATGACCATCGTCAGACGTCTACATCATCCTCGAAGGCCCGATGCAAATGCTCGCCGCTTACGGCCTGATGATGTGCTCATTTGGCAATTTTTATTTATATTATTCTTAAAAGCATAAGGAAGTATTTTGTTGCATGGTCGGCGATTCTCTTTATGTAGAAAATCATGTATTATATACATGATATTTGATAGAATATTTCTTCTTTTGTGGGCTTTATTCGCTCATTTTCATTCGCTGATATTAAATTAATTGAGCATGGTATTAAATTCTCAATTATGATTTGCCAATGCAATGATTACAAATTGTTTCGTTCATTACTGTTTTTGAATTTTTCAAAATTGTTTCTTAACAATTGCGTCAGAAAGTAATTATGTTTAATTGTGAAACATGTTTGCAAAACATTAACAATTGAGTTTAAAAAGATATTAGCAGTCAGGGAGGTTCTTTTGTTGAGAAAGGATTATTTCTAAAAGGAGCCTAGTGCGTTGAATTGTCTATGAGGGTCCTAAACTAAAGAGACGTGCACTTTGAATATAAATTGCGTCGCAAATATAAATTACACACCATACCAACAAACGTGCCGAAATTCTTGGCGATTCAAATTTTGGGCTTTACTCGAATCGTAACTCTTCGATCTCACGGACTTGTTGTCTATACCATCGTCACCTATTTTATCCCCAAACGCGACGTTAGTCCCATTTCACGATTGGCTGCGTTCCAAATCAAAGCTTCGAAGACGAGATGTCTTTCGCGCGAATTTGGCCGTCGAAATTCGAGGGCAGCCCCGGGTGGGCCTTATCTTTGTTAAGGCCGCGTCGCGAACGGCATTTCTTCGGGATGTGAATACTTAATAGTATCAATAAGACAAATGTATCCGATTACGAAATCGCGTTTGCATTTGATTATCGACAATATGCATGAAAAGATATTCTCGTGTGGATAATAACCTTTCCTAGAAAAAAATATAATTCCTCGGCAATAATAGAATTTTTACATGGAAAATATGGGATTTTATTTTTTCATTAATCTGTTAAAGAATAAAAGCAAGTCTTACAATTAGAAAAAACATGTAGATTACGTCGTAAAATTCTGACATTATCACTAGCGTCAAATTCGTAGAAAAAAGACAATAGATTATACAATTTCTTCTCCCCGTTGTCTTTTTACAAATTAAATTTTAATAAATTAACGGACATTTTTATCTGAAATTTATGTACACAGCGTTTCTTTACGTTTTATTTAAGATTTTTAGAACAAATGTCGGATACACGGTTCTTTTATGAGGAACTTCTTTCTGCGGTCCATGACGCATCGATGCGCCGCAATCGTTGCACAAATCTCGTGCGTTTATCATTGAAACGATCAGTAGCAAGGTGAACACCCTGAAAGTATCGTCGCTCCTTAAGGATTCCAGTCGCATTGTCCGCCGTGCTATGACGAGGAATACAAAGATTTTAGGATGGTCCACCGGTGTGCCTGAAGAAGGCCGTTGCGACTCGTGCATCGGAACCGCCAAAGTTTCTCTCTGCCGCGACGTGATAATTTTTTCTTCGTCGATAAACGTAACACCTGCAATCGCGCCTTAAAACACAGGCGAGAGAAATCGTATACTCGTATAATTTATTATCAAAAATTTTAGTACATGCTTCTATGGAAATTAATTGGTAGCTATTATAAATTATTATTGTCTCTTGTAAAGAAATTTTTTTTTTAGAGAAGGTATAATCTTTCTACTATCATTATATACATAAATTTATTTTATGATAAACATTCGAAGGACATTAAACTTAGAGGTCTATGTTTTGTGATTTTTTTTAGTCACGATACGAGTAATAACATGTTCTTTTAATTAAAATAGTTGATCCTAAGAAATCTCTTTGTGGCGAGATAGAACAGGTACTCGTAAGTAACTTTGGTATGACTTAATGCGATTATAAGGAGTACTATTTTTATATATGATAATAAGAGGTCAGAGAAATCTCCGATCATCCATCATTAATTATAGTGAAATTCAAGATGATCGTGTAACATATGCCGGGCGCACATGCAATAAATTAAATAAATTAATCGCTATACAATGTATAAATATATCGATGTAGAGTCGCGAATATTTCCTGACTTTCCAAACTAAAGTTGTCAACTAAAAGATAAATAAAGAACGACGAGACGGTGATCATTTTGCGACGAAAATTGCGTCATTGTTCGATTCTTCCTCGATCTTTTTCGCGCAAAGTGATCGTTCCCTCGGTCAAATTTATGCGTTTCCGATGTCAGTCCGTGGGTACGTAAGCTCGGTAAGCGAGCTCTTGCGGCGTCTCGTTCGACGATCTTCCCCAATAACCGTGATCGTCGTGATCGTAGTGATGCTGATGCTGCGCGTGCTCGTAGTAGATGACCTTGGACGGGTGGCCCTTCTTGAGCTCTATCCAAAACCTGGCGGCGTTCAGTAACAACGAGACGACGGCGATGATGAAGAACTTGAACTGAAAGTGGGTGCTTATCAGCTGCAGTAACAGGCTGAATTTCGCTTTCAGCAGCATCACCAGTCCCAGAAGTTTCTTCAGATGTTTCTTCTTGAATTTCTTCTTGCGTGCCTCTTCTAAACCAAAAATTGTACGTTTTCTGTTACATTGAATCCCCTGCGATGCGGGACTACGTGTAAAAAGGAATTGTGGAACGCGAGAACGCGGTAGATAATTGCAAGTGAAAGCGAATGTCGGAAATGATGTCTATTTTTTTTTTTAAGAGATGCGATCGTGGCATTTTTGCCAAACATTGTTTCAAACAAATCCGCAGACTGTGGACTGATCTTAATCAAAGCACGCAATCTGGCAAACGTAACATGAGGATCTCCGGCGCAGGTTGACCCACAAACCTTAACCTGGAGTGTATTTCGTCTGGCTTACGCGCCACGTAATCGTCCGCAACCGGTACGACTTTCTTAAAAAAGAGCGGATCGCTTTCGCGCGGCCGAATTTTCTCATATAAAAAGAAATATCTCTCTTCTGTCTTTTATAACGGTCAAGATGTCCATATATAGAGTGGATCGAGAAACTCGCAAAATGTCATTGAATCCTAATTTCATTCTCTTAAGTTCCCGTCGACGAAATGTTAAATCGATATGCGAATCATAGCGAATTAGCGTAATGCCCGTCGAATTACTCAATTTGTCGTCGTCAATTTACGTCGGAAGTACCGTACAGTTTTTTACGGTACGCTCCAAAAGATAACAAAGATAATATTCCCGGTACCGTTATTCATCAGCCTGCAGATTTTGATATATATATATTTTTTTTTTGGTAGATTCGGCAATTAATATCTCGTTAGAGTGATTCTAATACAATCGTGACGTACCGTGTATCTATTTCACGAACTTAAAATTAACGTTTCCGGACCGACGTTTATCTCTTCCGTCCCCGTATGATTCGCGTCTGTTGAGTTTTGCTGGAAAAAATGGCCGAGAAAATGGCGAGTGATACGATCGGTACCGTTACTGTCGATTTGTCTAAGTCGTGGCATTAAATTAGCGTAAACTGCGACGTCGGCGACACGCGCATACGGGCACAATTGCATGCAGAAACATTTAAACAGCTCGCCAGTGACCTAGACGGGATGCTTGTGGGTCTGATCGCGCGTTAACTTGCGGTTTACTTTGCGCGTTAACTTATATTTACGCTTGCATTTACATCCGGCGGAATATCAATAAATGGTTAAGCATTATGGAAATAACGGTGGAAAGTTCGTTTATCTTTACGTACGCGAGATGCACGCTTTCCGAATTCGCGAGATTTGCTCGCCTTGTCAATGTGATTTACTTTCCCGCATCGATATCAGATATAGCTAAGAACGCCGTTCATTCATAGATTCCATTCATGATCACGGCGATACTACTTCCTTTCTTGTCGGCTCCGTTTCCGATGGAGCGTTGAACGGTACCTCTGTTCACGATGTTGCGAAGTGATTTATAATTACGATACTTAATTGGTCGTATCACGTTCATAAATGATATATTATTTATATTGTGTATAATGTAATATTACAACGTGATGTTAATGTTGATCGGAGAAACAGAAACCGCATGTGTGAATAGTTAATTATCGTAAATTTGCATCTCAAAATTGTTTCTCACGTTTTCTCGTTTTATTTAAATACCAACGACAATGGTTTCGGGAAAACTAGAAAAAATAAGATGCGTAACAGAGAAGAAAATTGGCACAGTAATTTCCACAGTGCACCTGGATGAACTGACTTCCTGTCGTCACATCTCCAGTAAAGGAGGCAGTTACGAGTTCGGAAAGAGTTAACCGACTTTGTCCAACGGTGCCTCTTGGGAAGCGCGAAAGAAGTTACGACGTGCGTGGACGACCTTACACATTGCGTTCCACGTGCCGTCTCATCGCGATTAGAAATCTGAATTGCGAAATCGTCGATCTCGATTTACGACAGCTTAATTACGCTGACACACTATTCAGCGGTACACCTTGTTTATACGGAAGTTAGTAAAAGTTTGTATTATTTTAGAAGGATGAGTAGTAAAGAATTGTATGTTATTGATTGCAGAAACTGAGAAAATTTGAAATAATCGATCAAACCTAATGAAAGCGGTAATTAAGGAATATCATATTATACATATATAATTAATATAAGGAATATAATATTGTATATTATCTCGATAAGGAAGTCGAGACAAGAAATCATGAGTTATTGAAATTCTTTTCTCATTAACGTAATGATATTGCTATTCGATTTCTAATTTTCACCTTTATTGTCGTCCTGAGCATCATCCTCGCCGACGATTTCTTCCGCACCGTTCTCCTGCAGCTCATCAACGACTTCAGCGATGATATTGCCAGCTTGTTCGATCACCGCGCTCATCGGCTGCTGCTCGCTCTTCTTCCCGGTAACTTCCAACTCGATCTGGTCCAGGTCACGGGCCAGTCTCGTCCTGAGGCAATTACCGACGTTGTCCGTGAACATACACTCCAGAATGCCCATGTCATCTTCCTTTGAATCGCCCTTCTCCGTCGCCGTGCAATGAGCGTGCAAAGCGAGTCCGAGGACCAGGAAAACCGGCGCGATTATCCTCATGATTGCCTGTCTCCTTCAAATTTGTTGACCCTCACCGATTGGAGGCGCACCGTTATCACCACGAAAATCGCGCGATAGCTTCCCTGACGACTGGCTACCACGTTCGTGTCACCCTCTCGTATTCCGGTCTATTTTTTTTTCTTTGATCTTGACCGTCAACCGTGGCCTTGGACCGCGTGTCACAGACTCGAAGTGGTTGTGGAGCGTGCGTGGTCGAACATATATGAGACCGGTGTCCCTTCCATCTCAACTTCCGCCAATAGTGGGTTTGGTTTCATATAAGCCTGGCGGGTACCCCTCCACCGTCGGTGGGCTTTTGTGGGCGCCACGACGAAACGTACGGTGTCGCTCCAGAGGGACGTTCGGCTCCGCGAATTATCGAATGGAAACGAGCTCGATATTAGAGTGGGATATGTCGTCTCTGTACAATGCTATTAATACATGGCGAATAATTCATGGATCGGCAACGAAATCATGACAACTTTCATTCTCGTTATCTCGCGAAAGTCCCATTTCTTCTCTATTTTCGTACTTTTTAATTTTCGTCATCCAACTTTTTCTTGAGTCTAGAACTTAAAAAAATGCGAAAAGAAAGCGAGTACAGTACTTTCTTTAGTGTGCTTAATAAATTGCTTTATTAATTTTTTTTCTACAATCAAAAAAAACGGGATAAATTCGGATTATACGTGACAGCGATTTTAAAGTAGTTTACGAGCGACTTGGCACACGCGTTTAACAGTACGTGGACCGACGATAAAAATTTCATTTGATCGACAACACATGCTAACCCAATTCTGACATTTCAAGAACGAAGAGGTATCAAATCCCAATGAAATGGCTGCTTTCGAAAAACGTCTGAATCGCAGTACATACATGTCGTACATGTTCAATATATCCCTGAACGTTTCTAATATGTCCAAACATTCGTTTATCGCTCTATGCATTCTTCTCGAGTTTAGCTCGTTTGATTTCATCATATTTAATGGTTTTTCATTATATTTAATTATCTCGACTACTGATATTGTTTGTTTAAATCTATCTCCCTTAAAAGCCTTTCACTGAATAGGTTGAAATAACACTTAACGTTTCGTTCAATTACCATAAGAACGGTAATCCGCGGGGCGCTTTTCAGAAGTTCAGAGCCTCGCAGTCACGCGCGCGTGACAACTCGACTGTCACAACAGTGTCTCGACGGCTTTTGCGCCGTTAATTAACACGATCCCCGGAACGTACGTGTAGTCGCCGGTTTCGTGAATTATGCATCAATCACTCGGGAATTTTCGCTTCACCTTTCACTATGATTACGTTCGCCCTTTCCGTATTTTGCTCGCGTCGCCTTTTAATCGTCAATTACACGATGTAATAGGTATAGTGGCACGCGCGAATATTATTACAAGTTGCGCATACGTGGAGATCGTACGCGGAACCTGTCATAATGAAACGAAATACGGCTTGTCCGCGTAAAGGTCTCCTCGCGCGGTCATTTAATTTACGTTTGTTTATATAATTTAAATTTTTTTTTTTTTTTTTTAGAGAAAAATATACCCTCTCCAATATTTGCACGTGTAACTTACGAGAAAAAGGATAGTCGTGCAAACCAAGTGTAACATGCTTTGTAGAACAGAAATGCATCGTGAGCTGCACTACCGTTATCTCGTTATTATTTATGTGACAGTTTTATCACAGTTTGCTACCCTCGAATATGATTTTCGAGTCATTCTATAATGATCTCCGAAACATCTGGCTGATGCAAGTATCAAATACTTGCCCCGCCTATATATGCAGTACATATGTATACAAACAATAGTTTTATTACAATTACATTTTATTACAATACTACAATGCTTCATGTGACTGAAAGTAATGAACGTTATTTGTCTTCGTAGAAAACAACGTTTAAAAACTAGATAAATTTAATGATATTCTTAATTGCGAATTAGTCCTAATTTTACTGGCCCGGCTACATTTTTGTTCGTACCGTTTTCCTGTTAGACGCTAAGGAATGACTCACATACAACCCGTTTTTCGCGTTTGTCGAAGGTTTCAAATAAATTGTGAGAAATCGCGTAAATTAAAAAAAATTTTTTAATTGTTTTATTTATTTCGAACTTGTAATATGACTTAATCTAAAGTATACTTTTGTAAGTGCATATTATTAAGTGCATATAAAAAAACCGTCTAGAAGATGATATAAAATTATGAATAAAATTACATTTCCGAAAAAAAGTTATATTTAAGCGGAAATTATTTTACAGTTACTTTACGTCTGCAGTTAAATTATTTTTATATCAGCAAATTATTGATTTTTTTTTAGTAAATGGGAAATTAATTTGTTATTAATCAATTTTAAAAATCGAAAATTTCTAGACGTGGCTCATATATATATTACTTAAAAAAATGTTAGCATATATTCGATAACACACACAAATCTCAGTTAAGATAAAAATCGGCATTATATAAAATTGCAAATTTTACGACCAGTACCAACGAAACGAGTATCCTTTGAGACCGTGCTTCTCGTCGGCCGCGTTCGTCTGCGGAACGAACGTGATGTTGGGCTGATGCCCGAATTCGTTGGACAGATACTTCACTTGCGTGTCAATACCGTTTTCGTGCCGAGCTCGATAGCTACCGTCCTTCCTTCCGCTGCGATAGCCGTCCTCGCGATGGCCGTGCGACGTTATCGTATAGTTGAACTGATAGTACAGATCGTCTGCCATTTTCTCCAGGACCCGATCACTCACGGCGACTTTATTCGGACCGTCCTCCTCGGACAGCAGCTTTTTCGCAGCCCGCACCATGCTTCTCGTCACGTTTTTCATGTCTTCCTTCTTGATGATCTTACTTTTCTCTTCTGAAAGAGAGTGCGACAGTGTGAGAATTTATAGTTTTCTTATTCATCGCTAACAGATTCTTTTTTTTTTTGCCACCTGTCAGTATCTTCATCATCTGCTTTAAAATCGGATCCATCTTTTTCTGCGGCGGCGGCGACTGCGTGGTCGTCTTTGGAGGTTTTGGCCGAGCGTCCTCTTGCTTTATTGGTAGCTTACAGCTGCTGCAGGCCTTCATTACAGCTTCGATTAATTTCTTCGCCGCTTCCGGTCTATCCTTGAATATCTCTTGCGCGTCCTTCACTTGTTGGCAAATGCACGAAATGTTCATACATTTAGAGCTATCGGGAAGTTACGTAAAGTTTAGGTTTATCGTAAGCAACTCACGACTCGTTATTTTCCGGTTCCTCTGTTTTGTAATAATAAAGTCCCCATTTTTATCGGTCCTATATCCAGTCTCGTGATAAACAGCATCAGCCGTGATAAAGCCGTATTCTCCGGTAATGAGCCCCTCGGCGTCTCAACGAAAAAAATGAGAAAAAACGTCACGCTTAATTTCATTATTTCGACACAAGGATTATATTTCAATTCAAATTATTTACAATAAGAATCACGCCCGACACTTTATTTTTTTTCAATCGATATACCTTTCTTCTCAAATCTATGTTGAAAATCGACGATGTTGAAGGAGAACTCGTAAGGTCTGATATTTTCCTCCGCGACGACATGATGTTGCGCGACCAGACAGCACAGCAAGCACACAAGATCGCACCATCTCCTCTGCAAATGAAAATCGCGTCTGTGCTTTATCGCGTGATAACGTAGTATTTTCCTTCGCCGGCCTTGGATCCTCACCACGAAGGACGACATCCCGCGGCTTGATCCCTGCGGCTTCGAGTTCGCGCGACTGAATGACGGCAGGAGCGAATCCTCCGAGCCTGCAGAAGGTGACGTAATAAACGAGAAAAATGTTCTCGTCTTCACGGCGGATTATCTATGGAAACTATCCGACGACGAGGGAGTAGAGGAAAGCGTGAAGGGGACAAGAAGGAAAAATCGGAGAGCCTTTGACGTTTATCTCGATGGGCAGGTATGCTTTCACACATTTTGCATACTTGGCGGAGAGATAATTGCACGGCGTTTCGTTAATGGTCGTAGATCGTCCGTAGATCGAATGTACCGTGGCCGTAAATTGCATTCCACACGCTACAAGATTTCATTTGCTCTCTGTGACATAATATTGGATTTTATCGACGACGTTCTTACTTGACAATGAGAGAGTTACGAGTGACACAAATAGGCAGAAAAAGCGGTAAATATTTATCTATGACTTTATGCAAGTCATTCAGTGAACACATATATACTTATCTTTTTTGTTAGATCTTTTCATTTAGCGCATTAGTTTTCAGTTTTCCCCGACATGCCATTGCTTTTTGTCTTAAAAGTTGAACCTAATATTATGACAGATTAATTAACATTAATATTTATTATAACAAAAAAGATTTAGATTTTTTTTAACGCAAGAGTTAATTTATTACTTAAACTTTACTATAAAATGTTGCAACCAATTAATTAAAATTTACTGCATAAAATTAATTTAAATTGTCCTTTGACACAGATGACTTTTTAGGTGGTAAAATGATGCTTTTTTCTAATGGACATTAACAAGCAGAGACGAGAAGACATTTACATTGATCACGATAAAGCTGTATTTATTAGATGACCTTTCGTTTTATTCTCACACTTAACGCTGTCAGATCGACGGCGGTTTCTTGTTAAGAAGCGAACGCTGTTGGGAGTGCTGGACGACGCGGGATTATAATAAATTAATGCACGTTCAATGCGCATAGGTCAGCTAATCGGACACTGTGAATAATGCCTGCAGAATCTTGCAATTTTTAACGCTATTGTGCGAAGCATACGACATATTCTAGGAAAATCTCGTTACATCTAATTTGCTTTGATTAAAATAAATTGTTGAGAAAATCGTGAAAGGTGGCCCCGATAAAGTATCGAAGATATTATATTTATTAAAGAAAATCCTCTTTTTCGCGCGCCCGCACGTGTTTTTGAGCGTTCGTAACTCGTAAATGGAACATTACGGTAAAATGAGGGTCAGGGCCGTTCGGGGGTGATTTGCGTCGATTCGGAAATAGCGCCTCGAAAAACCTCATCTGAATATACGACGCGCCAGACTTGACAAGATTAGAAATCGCATGATCATCGAAAGTGGCACCGTTACAAACTTCTGGTCATGGTGACTTACAATCCTGGAGACGAAGCCTGGACGTGTCCGCGTAGTTTAAAGCTGCACGCATACAATCGAACATGTGGAAAGTGTCAAATACCACAACTAAGTCGACGGGATGTTGCGAGAGAAAATTCTGTTTTCGTGACAATGTAGAAATGTACAGTAAATATATTTACTGTACATTTATCTATAGATATTAGGATTTTTATAGTCGTGAAAACTTGAGTTTCCAATAAAATGTTTCCTCTAGACTAGCCTAATATATTCACGAATTGTTCGACTTTTCCGATACGATCTGGAACAGACTGGAATTAGAAACTCCTTTGGAATATCGAATTGCTGGGGAATCGGCGAAAGAGATCTAAATTCCTTCACGTAACGCGATGTTTACGCGATTCGAGCAGTCCGCGATAAGCGACCGTTCAATTCCTACACTTGCCGGGTATGCGTGGTGCATCATGCATTTTGTAGTCCAGTAAACGGCATGATCTGATTTGTACTGTGATCGATTTAGGAACGACGATCTCCGTGGCATACCAACAATAACCACCGCTCGCGGAAGGTGGGTTTCTGGCACGTATGCGCAACGCGAATATCGCCGACATACGTCTCGACGAGTACAGTTCGCCGTTGACGAAACTCCTTATATTTGTGCTACAATCAGCTTGTATATCCTTCTTGTTCGCGCGTACGCCATTCGCGTTTCCGCCGTCACGGGATTTTTGTTTTATCGGCGAGAAGCGCGATGACGGAATTCTAATTTCGATTTCGATGTCGAATTTACCGAGAGAGAAATGAGAGAACCTGAATGGGTATGTCTGCACGCGAATGTGAGAATCTGGACCGAAATGCCGTTATGTGGAGACCCGAAGTGTGTCAGCCGACATCTTGATATCGGCACGCCGCTAAATACAAGGCAAAACGCGGACAGGTGAGCAGCCGACGACCAATAATATATTTGCTCGGATACTGCGAGTCACAATTTTCAATAAATATAAATATATATCCAATATATATGTAAAAAATAATTTAATAATTTATATATAAAGTAAGGTAATTTCAAAATTTTATAAATTTCATAAATTAATTTTGCATTTTATGATCTCTATATATCACAGATGTCCTTCGCACTTTCGAATGTGTTGCTATGGGAAAACCGCAATTGATCAGTCTTCATATCACAAGAATGTATTGTTCTTATTGTCACACTCGTATCGCGTACTTCATCTACCGAACCATTCATCCTCCTCGTGTTTATCGGGATAGCCATGGCGATAGTGTATGTGATGATATGGCTGGCGGATCACCACTACCTCCGAGTTTTCCGTCGAGCTTTTGATAAAATTGTAGATCATTATTGCGATTGCTAATTGCGCCACCATGATGCTCCTCAGGAGTGATATTTTAATGGTCGCTATGGCGCCCGGTAGGGAGAGTATCTAAAAATAGACGGATTTTACGATTTTTTTCTAGCGGGACATCTTAATGAGAACGGCAAACAAGAAACCTGCATAATGAATGGCGTCATCATCATCATCAATCCGAGTTTCTGCAAAGGATTCTTCTTCTCCTGCTTGCTTCTTGGAGCTTGCACTTCCGTCTCTAAAGAAGAGAAATCTTAATCTTTCTCAAAGTGCGAAAGTAAATAAAACAGTGTCAATACCTTGCAGTAGGTCGTGAACTCTCACATGAATATTGATTTCACTGTCCTCCAAGGAAAACTTGACTCCCGGAAGGATTTTCAAACTTTGGGTTTTGTTGAGACTAATTTGAGCATTATTCAGTCTCTCTTCAACGCGAGTTAACACTTTCGACGTTGTTACCAGCCAGATGATAATATGGCAAATGAAGATTTTGGTCCCATTCATGTCCTCGAATTTATAATAGATTTTTATTATTGGCTGAAATATACATATCACAAGAATTACAAATTTTTTTTCAAAATTGAAGATGTATTCCTGACGATTATATTAAATTTGTGTATTTTAGTGTTATAGTAAGCTCTCAAAATAATAAATCCATACATTTTTTATCTGTATGTAAAATATGATAAATTTGATAAAGACTTACAGCTATTATTACTACATTAAGTCAGTGCACAACTTACTTTATACGCAAATGTAGTCTTGAGTTGCGTAAAAATACGTTGTCATATGGTATGCTAGATCCACACTCGTATAACTTTCACGATAATTATCCGTCTATATTACACTATTACTAATTCATTACGGTGTCATCATCGATACTATCTCGCGATTCGCGAGCACAGATATATATTAACTAAGTGAACATGCACTAACGAATCAAAAGATACCGAAGAAAACTTGTTTAAAGAGAATAAAACAGTATTTGTATTTTAGAATTAATTTGTTTTATTCGTCCGGTCTTCTCTCCGATATGTGTTGTGCAGCGCGTCGTTCTCCTCTTCGCTTGCCATGTAGACTGCATCGTGTTACGCGAAGCGCAGCAGAGATATTTTACTTTTTTGTTCGTCATATACCCCACGCCAGGTTACCTTAGGCCGGGAAAACTGGGTCTCGTTTTACTGGAGAATGCTATTTACACCGGAACCGACGTAATGCGAATGCACTCGCTCAGTGATTCGCTACACTGGCCGATGAATGTATTAATTTTATGAATGGGTAATAATCTTCTTTATACATGTGTAAAATAACATATTATTTAATAAAATATTATAATTATGTTTTAATAAAATTGAATTCTATTTTGGAGAAAATGCAAAATCTTCTTGTCATCAGAAAAGGTGAGAGAAAAAAACGTCAACAGAAAACATGCGAAGTATTAACAAATGTCTGAAAGTAAATATATAATTTATAAATACATTACAATAAAAAACGATGGATAATCTATCGTATTGTGTAACATAAATATATTAATAATAATCTTATTAATAATATGAGGTATGTATGTAGTTAATTCTTAAATATAAATACTTTTCGTTTTGGTACGGAAATGTAGGTCTACGTTATACATATTTCTCATAGTTACAGCCAAATTAATATTTTGTAGTTCTTGTTTGATGAAGGTAATTACAGAGATTATGTTTTGTTTTTAATTCGCCATGCAATGTGCAATAGAACGTTATCCGATTCGTTTACATATTTTGAAGGTGCGTCATGTGGTACATCTTATATGCGTGTGTGTGTAATAAATGTTATATTATAATAATTAAACTATTAATAAATAATTACATATTTATTGCGTTATAAAAACGCTACTCATATTTCCTTTAGAAAAGGAACTTCGTATTTCTTTGATAGTAAATACTTTGCAAACTTATAATTATTATTATAAGTTAGGAAAATTCCTTTGGTATACCCGTATATGCATATTACATAATTTATATTGAGATACGCTAAGAAATTGGTCGCTGTGTCACAGTACGTAAAAAAATTTAATATTCGTTAAATTGATATTTCAACTCTTATTTTTCGTACGAATAAGCTTCTAATGCTTCCAATAAATAGCGTCTGGATGGCTGAAAGTATGGCCATCGCAAATATTAATATTTACAGCCATTAAAAGTCAGGCATTAATAATAATATCTGAATAAATTAATGGACGCAAAATCACAAAGATTATCTCAGAAAACGTACAAATAACGTCGCTTCTAGCAACGATTATTACGTTTTGTTGTAACCATTTTTTTCGTAAGTGGCTTTTCAATAAAAATCTTCTGGTCGGAGAATGTAATTTATATATACGATTTTTATCCCTTATAGTAAAGTTGATCCTCATATGCGGGACCACTCGAGTCCCAGCTTTGGTACATTTGTGGGTGAACGTGTGGAAGAAAACCGCTGTGTACATGCACGTGAACTGGTTGCGGTGCGTGGTAGCCGGATGGCCATGGTTGCGGTGCGTGATAGCCGGAATGAAGTTTTGCCAGGAAGGTACTGAGCTTAAGCACTAGCACCATGATGCCTGAAAAATAGTAAAACGCAGAGACTGAGACTTCCGTTTCGTATGTCAAAACGATTCATAAATTTTACGGATTGAAGAATCTTGTAAAACATAATATCCCCCAGCAGCAATGAATGTAACGGATGGATAAATAAGTAAACTGGTCGAGAAACTTGTAAGAAAGTTAAGTTGCAATAAAAATTCAACAATTAGCGAGATTTTATAATTCGCAATGATGAATAATAACGTTAAGTAATTAATCGAAAAGAAATGAACAACGAGACATTTTTTTAAAACAAATAAATAATTATCGGAAATACTGGGCCAAGTAAAAAATCTTACTCTCGTATAAATCTAACTCTCATTTGAATACTGGACTCATATGCAGTAAATAGGTCAGCAATATCACCTAATCATGTATGCAGGTTACACGGCTCGTATCTACAAGACAGCCACGTGTCCGTTATACTTTGTGTGGGTGACACTTTTCTTGACTGAGTACGAAAATAATGATGCTTACCTACAAGAAGTCCCTTCGCTGAGATTGCGGTTATTATCATCAGCATTGTCATCATTACTCCCATTTTATACATCATCGGCATCAGCATGAACTGAATTCTCTTATGTCCAAAAGTGCGGGACTCTTCGTGCTTAATATCTGAATAAAAAACATATTAAAAAACATATTAATATAATTACGATTATTATAAATCCATGTATCCATAATCTTTATGGACTGCTATTTTAAATAATTACGTACATTATGTATGTATAATAATTATGTATAATTATTATACATACATAAGAAAGTATAGTGTTTAAATTCACGTTTGTAATTCTATTGTCGCAAAATAGCTTTTCTGTTTTCATAATGCTCTATTATCAATAGACGTGAAATTATGAGCCTCACCTTGAACTGGTTTTCTTTTGAATGGGTTAACCAGGATACTCCGAAGACCGTCGACGTTCAGATTCAGCGACGTTGGCTCCGAGACGAGCCCGAGTTTCGTGGCATTGCATCGTGCGATTTTGTTGCTGTCCCTCGAAAATTTGACATCCGCGGCACTCGTTGCACGCACATTTTTCGTAAATGCAGCTGCCAATAGCACATACGCCAGAATCCAGCCAATCGCCTTCATTCTCAGACCGGTTTACCACCACCCGGACTCATCGACACTCACGATCCTTTTTCTTTCAACCGACCTTTTTCCCTCTGTCTTCTACTGAATCTCCTGTATCGGACTAACACGAAATACGTGTTATTCGGACCCGCACGAGCAACCGTATGATTCCCTCCAACCAACTGAGCGGTTCGAACTCGAAAGAGAATTGCCCGCTCGCTGCGCGTCGACTTTCTGCGCACCTCTTTCGAATTCCTCCTCGATGCCAATTTTACAAACATCTAAGCAAATCCGAAGAATGATGACCGGCATTCTAATGTTAGAAAGTATTCTTGTAACAGTTGTAACATATCTCCTACAATAAAATTACAGAGCGATCAGAGATTCGCTAATTCACAATTGCTCGAGAACGTTGAAAATTTTGCTAACAATTAATAACTTATATAGAATGTAATTTTTAATGTAAATTTACCAGGGTCCTCATTTTTTAGTAGACTCTTCATTTAAACATATTACTCTTCATATTACATTTTGACAGTGAAAAAAAGAAGCCTATGTATTTTAGGAAGGGATTGTTGGACTCGCTTTTTTTTTTACTCAATTTCACTTGCTTAATCTAAGAATGATAATTAAAATTGTTTCAGTATTCGGAAAATTATTTTACCACATTTTAAGCAGAAGAAAACAATAATTCATTTTATCGTTTTGTCGAGAGCCATGTCAATAAATTTCTCTTAATCTATTTTATTAAAATCGTGGATTTTTTGCACTAAAGAATCACAAAGTGATAAAATAAATTATTATTTTCTTCCGTTTAACATGAAAAAAGATATTTCTCGGATACTGAGGCAAGTTTAACTACAATTTCCGTATTCGACAAGTAAAATTAATAAAACAAGTAAGAAGAAAGATGAGCCCAACGATCCCTGCGTGCTCTCCAAATCGCCTAAATGCATAGATTCCTTTTAGGAATGACACACACCTACTGTCTTTCACTTTTTACGTCATGTCACTGTCATGGTCGTCGTGCAACGACCGTTCACGCGTGGCCATCACCTTGAAAAGGAGTGGCTGTACCAAGAGTAGTCGGAACGCATTGCTTCACAATTTTCCGATGAAATTCTCTGTAACACACGCGCACACCCACACTTGTATAATCTCCATTCAGAAACATTTTACTGTTTGGAATCCATTTGTGAATAGTATAAAGATACATTTTTTCAACTAATTCTCCTGGTACTGCTTATTCTCCTAGATACCGCCGCGTCAATCTGCTAAACGCACAACATCAGCAAGCACTTATATGTGCAATGTTGCTGCAAATAGCCGTCCTTAACGAATGATGCACTGCGCTTCCAACTAACTTAACAACTGCTCACTGACCTCATCACGAGGCATTACGAGGAACATTATGCGTCATAAAATTCATTAACGGTCTGGCTTCAGTAAGTAGCTCAAAGAAAAGTCATGGTCACGATGATCGACGTGGTTTACCTCGATACGCTCGTTACAAAGCCGACAGAGAGATTGCTTTATCTACAGCTAGTTACGTTAATTCAATATAATTTCTGAACAAGGTAAATGTATACAATTTTTTAAAAATGTTTAAAATTATTTTAAAGAAATTACAGTGTATTTTTTTATATCCTTATTCTTGCAGTATAAAAAAATGTATAAATATTTTGGGCGTTAAAAACAAGCGATTAGGACAGTATAAAAACGTTCGCTAGCAAAATTGCTAACGAGAACAGAACCGCGCGAAACGATGCCGAAGTAGTAAAATCGCATTACAAACGTTGTGGACGCACCGTAAGCAAGGCAGACGGTAAAGAAAGGCAATACAGGTTTATTGCATCGTCTTTGCGCAGTGAATCCAGTACGAAAGGAGCGAGGAGAGGGAAGAAGTAGGGAGCATCGTGCTACGACCATCTTGGAAAATAAAATTCGTTGTAAAAATGCATTACTTTCCGCTCCCCACCTTAGGATTGCCCCTTCTTCCTGGCTCATTCCTACGAGTCTCGATTCCTTCAAGGACTAAAAATTCAACCCTTTACACCGGCGCGCGGCGCGAGCAGAGAGCGCGCGGGCAAGACTGTATTAAATACAAACGCGAAACCTGATCTGTGATCTTTATTTATGCAACGTCGTGTTTAGATCTACGGATTATCATTTCCTTTGCTTCCTTCGATTTTTTTTTAAACCAAGTTCGCTGATCATTCGCCGCCAATTAGTTTATTTTTACATTCTAATTAGTCATGAATTTTTACTTTTTCATGAAACACGCCTTGCTCTTTTGTCATCGACAGTAATTAAAATACATTTAGATGATACAGACGTTTCTTTTTTTAATTGGTTAAGATATTATTATTATCAATAATAATTTTCTATTAACGACAAATGATAGCTTGTAATCAATATCATTTCATTATATAAATTTTTAGAATAAAAAGGAGTAAGATATTTATAAGACATGCTAAAAAAAATTAATTACGATTCAGATTTTTACTTTAGATTCTATTTCTCGGTATGCCCGATGTCGAGTATACAAGTCGATTTTTACGGTGCAAAAAAGGATATGCCGTGCACTTAACTATGTTTATGACGTTTCTCGTTCTCTTCTCCTAGCCTATTACTCCTTACTTCTAAGAGTGCTCGTAAACCGTATGTAATTGTTGAACGATCTGAGGTAAATAAACTTCCTCAGCTTCGCGACAAATAATTCATGTTGTAAACGCTCGAACGATGCGGACTAATTTGCGCGATTAATTGCGTTAAGGAAATCGCGTGTCGGGATAGATCGATGCACCTGATGCCATTGCCATTTCCGCGCAGGAAACGCAACCGGTCGGCCACGACAAACTCGTTGGCTGCGAAGCTCGTTACCTCGCAACCCCGTAGAGGGGCACCGCAAAAATGGAAATGCCAGGCTGTTATTCATCTACAGGTTCGCTTCTTCGTCCGTGAACTGGCTGGAGTCGGCGTGCTTTAGGCGATGGTATGTGTATCACCATGCGTGAGGCATGGCTGACCATAGACCGGCTCAGAAGTGGCCGAGACATTCGCCTCTCGACCGCGACCATGAGAGCACTCAACTCTCGACGCCCACGGTCAACCGCGAGCATCCACCGGCTCGCGCCTCTCTGTTTCTTCCTTCTGCTTTGCGTCCTTCACGCACGAGCGCGAAGTGTGCCTCACGATGACGGTGGGGTCATCGCGGACCAAGTGCACGGCAAGATTTCGGAACCGGTAGAGGTGAGTGATCCTGAGGGCGTAAACAAGGAGGATGTGAATCCGGCACGGAAAAGCTTGGTGGGAGCAGAAGTCTACACAGAACATGACGCGGATGAAGATGAAGATGAAGATGTTAGCCACGAAGAAAGGAATAATGCAGCGGAAGAGGTGCTCGGCGAGGAGCCTGAAAAGATCCAGGTCGAGGCTGCCGGTGATGAAGGTAGCGTGGCGAAAAAAAGGCGACGGAACGACGTGAGCCTTCCCGATAAGCCTGTGTCGCAGGATGGCGAGAATGTCGCGCAGAACATCGAGGAGAAGAACGAAGGTATTCGACGATTTGACGCTCAGGTCGAGTCTGACGATACGTCTGCGGACCAACGGACAATACCGGAAAGTATCACAGAGGAGAATCCGGAGTCGCAAGGAGATACTGTCGAGATCAACGTCGAGGAATTGCACGCGGATGTGAAAAACGTGAACGGCGATGAAGATAAGGCGGAGCAGGAAGGAGAGAAGTATGTTGACACTTCCTCCAATCTTGAGGAGAATCACGAGGACGTTGCCAGCTTGAAACAGACGGAGGAAATAGAAACGGTGCAGACTGAAAAATTGGCGGAACATAATTTGGATGAGGCACAAGCGGAGAATATCGAGGGTGTGAATGAAAATGTACGCAACGAGCTTCGTAGCTTGCAGCTCGCACAAGTGCAAGAAACCGAAAGTAATCAAGAGGAGCATGTCGCCGACGAGGTTTCGAACAACGAAGAGATCGGTGACAAAGATCTGGATAAGAACAGAGAGAATAGAGCCAAAGTTTCAGGTAAGTCCAAGTACAAGAGTTCGACTGTCTACCTGAATGCTGAAGAGGGCAATTTGCCTGCTCGCGAGCAAGAATCGATCGTAGACGGTCAAATAAAAAAATTGATATCTATACGAAATGACGCTCTTGAATCCGTCGTTAACGATGCGAAACAATCGGAAAAATTAGACGAAAAAAGTTTTCTTTCAGAAAAATCGGTGGAGGTCGACGCGGTTGCCGCTGAAAAAGACGAAGAGATTCGCAATCAACGTAGCGGCGAAGTGAAAACGACTCAGAGTGAGAATCTTGATGAATTATCTCCAACGACGGAAGCCGATTTGAATCGGTTTCAAAAATGGAAGAGTCAAGTCGCGTTTCTTCAAGAACAAATCAAGAATAGAACGTTCCTGCAACATTTGAGAGAGCAGGCAATCGAGGTGCTCCCCGACATTCCAAAATTCACGGAAAATCAGTTGCTGGACGTTTTGAAGAATATCGTGCTAACGCGGAAGTCACCTGCGAACGAAACGTACTCGGCTAGTTTGGACGCGGCCGAATTGACGGAGAATCAATTGGAAATAATAAAGTGCGCCGAGCAATTGGTGGAGACGAAGCAGCGGCAGTCGTTCGTGGAGAACGTGGGGGAATGCGTTCGCGGTCTCAGCGTCCTGAATTGCATTCGCATCTTCGTTTGGCCCGTTGTGCTCGACAATGTCCCGGAATCAGTCAAGCAGTCTCTGGACTACGTGCCAATCGAGATAAACTTGATCGATTTATTTCAGGGTAACAGGGCCAAGTCCGCGAGGTCCTGGGAGAGCGGCGTGCATCGTCCGAGGCTGCTGACGCCCGAGTTCGTTGTCTTCAACATTCTGAAGGGCGCTCTGGAATCGAAGGTCACCTACGATCTGGCGCCGGCTTTCATCGATCCGACGAACGAAACCCTGAGGGCACTGCTCACCGTCGGCCAGCTCCAGATTCTACAGATGGCCGAGAAACTCTTGCCCGGTGAGATACGTCGCGAATATTCCGACAGGATGTTCTCGTGTGTGCGCAGATTCGAGTACTTCAGCTGCGTCAAGTACTTCGCCTGGCCGATGGTGAAGCAGTATTATCCGACGCTGCCGGCATTCCCGGACTATCAGAGCTGGTATCCGTCGATAGCGTTGTACCCGCAGTATCCCATCGTACCCTTCCCCAGTTTCGCGGGCGAGCTTCCGGAAGTCATTGAGGCCGACGCTACGAGAATGCGGAAGCCTAAGCCGGAAGCGGTGATCGTGAACATCCTTGAAAATACCTTGAAAGAACACGCGAAGGTGCCGCCTCCGGCTGTTGCTCACAGCACGGATTCTTACGTCGCTCTACTCCCTCCGGAGCAATTATTGTCGATCCACATGGCTGAACAGTTACTTCCCATCCCGTATCGTCCAGAATTCGTTCAGAAAACTGTTAAGTGCATTCAGGAATTCAACTATGTAACTTGTATTAAATATTCCACCTGGCCGACGGTCAAGCAATTTAATCCCGGATTATCTCTACCGGATATTTCCGATTGGCTACCGGACTGGCAGTTGCCCGATGTCTTCGGCTATTTTCCGACATTTTCACTTCCCGATTTTTCTTCGTTTCTACCGCCGATTTTCGGAACCCGACCACCGACTACACCGACTCCACCGGCTACGCCGATTCCGCCAACCGAAAAACCGCAATCCGGTGGTTCCGCCACAGAAGGATCGGCTAGTCGGATTTCCACATCTCATAAAAATGAAATTTCTTTTAAAACATCCAGCGAATTAGAGAACAAAGTTACAGAGATTTTAACAAAGGTACGTAATTCTCTGAAAGCGACACCAAAAAATTCGCATTTTGTTGTCAACGAAAACGTAATTGTTCTGACAACCATCACTGAGAAACAACATAACATATTACGATTAGCGGAAAGTCTGATACCGCCTCCGGCTCGGGCTCCTCTTGTCGCTCAAGTTATATCTTGCCTTCAGGCGAACAACGTTTTTCTCAACTGCACCAGGTACATCATTTGGCCGACAGTCGCTCTTTACGTTCCTAATTTTCCCGAGTTTCCTGATTTATCATCTATTCAACAACCATCGAAACAAGAAGATCAAACGCCACTGAAGGATAAGGACGCCTTGCATCAGACTATCAAGGATCAGCAGGAGTGGAATAAATTGCAGACGAATTCTAACATAAAGATTATCTCCAGGACGAATATTCCACAGAATAACGGGCCTGTGATCAGCGTCACTGGTACTCGATTCGTGCCAATATTCACGGAACATCCTGAATCAGTGATACTCAACATTCTCAAGACGGTTCAGCTGTCTTCGCCAAACGTTCGAGATGATCCGAGCATCAAGATCACCAGTACGCAAAAGTTCGACGATCTGTTTAATGATCAGCAATTAACTATTCTTAAGATAGCAGAGAGCTTGCTACCCGATGCAGCTCGTCCTGCTTTTGTCGATCGAATGACAGAGTGTGTTCGCAAGGGCGATTTTCTGGAATGCTCGAGGAGCGTGTTGTGGCCGAGTTTACTGGAGTATTTCCCTAGACTTCCCAGCTTCCCGAATTTCGGAGGACATCTTCAAGCGGCAAACAGTAAGGCCACGTTACCTCTCCAGAATCTGACTGATCCATCGCCTTTCTCGGAGACTGACGTTAAAGTCGGCCAGCACGGAGACGCTACCGTTACCATTACGGACACTAGATTTTTTCCGATATTTTCGGAACATCCGGAAGGCGTAATTTTAAGAATTCTTAAGGCCGTGCAGCATTCTACGCCGGGTGCTGTAACTTCGCCGGTTACTTCGAGATCACCGCAGATTGCGAGTTATTTCACGGAGCAGCAAGGTAACATCGTTCAGGCCACAGAAAGTCTGTTACCGGAATCAATAAGGCCAGTCTTCGTGGAGAGAATGGTCACTTGCATTCGAGAGAGCACGTTCCTTGAGTGTACGAGGAATATAGCTTGGCCAACAGTTGCTCAATTTTTCCCGAGGCTGCCAAACTTTCCCAATTTTGGAAACTATCTGCAGACTCTGCCGAGGACGAAACTCGATTTATCGTCGATCCTGCTACGCAACGCTTACTCCGATAATCAGACGTCTAATGAAAAGAGTGAAAATACACCGACGACTGCTGTAGAAACGATTGAGGATAAAATAGAGAGTGTATTGAAGGAGCTGCTGAGCAAGAACTCGTCGCCGCGTTTGGAAAATTCCTATCTGGATGTCGATAATCCTGTGATAGGCACTCTTTTGACTGCTCGGGAAATGAATATTGTTAGATTAGCGGAGAGAGCGTTGCCGGATTCGGTACGTCGCGATTATGTAACCAACATGCTGGAATGCGCGAGAAGCAATAATTTCATAATCTGCACCGAACACATCACTTGGCCGACCTTGAAGCAATTTTCGCCGTCTTTACCGAACTTCGGGGAGTTGCTTGGTCAATTTCAAATTCCCGGCGCGGGTCAGATTCCCGGTATCAGCCAGATTCCTGGTATCGGTCAGATTCCTGGCGCGGGTCAAATCCCTGGTATCGGTCAGATTCCTGGCGCGGGTCAAATCCCTGGTATCGGCCAGATTCCTGGCGCGGGTCAAATCCCTGGTTTCGGCCAGATTCCTGGCGCGGGTCAAATCCCCGGTATCGGCCAGATTCCTGGCGTGGGTCAAATCCCCGGTATCGGCCAGATTCCTGGCGCGGGCCAAATCCCCGGTATAGGCCAACTTCCTGGACAGATTCCGAATTTACCCGGATTCGGAAATCCTTTTGCCGAGAGACCCAGTCTACCACAATTTCCTCTTCCTCAAATCCCTATGTTACCGGGCGGAATTCAAACTGGCATTCCTCAGTTTCCAGGATTGCCTAGCTTTGGCAGCCTAAATTATCCGCAATATCAAATCCTGTCGGACGCGCCGCAAGAGTCGAAGTTGCAAGAGCCAAAGCCACAGGAACCGAAGCCGCAGGAGCCGAAGGAGCAGGTTCAGTCAAAAGTTACGCATGCGGTGAAGGCAAACCAGATAAGTGGAGAATCGAGGGCTTCGAATACTCCGTCAGTAGGTGAATCAGTCTTGTCCGTTAAACGCAGACTGACTCTCTTTTTCAATATTCAGTTTATTAATCTTTGATTTTTTTGTATTTTTTTTTAGACGAGCAAGGAGTCGTTCCCGGATATCTTGGACAACCGTCGGACATTCTCATAGATGTTTCCAAGGAGAGAATCCACTTGTCTGAACTTAAGCAAAGTCCATTGTCGGAATCTGTTCTCCCGAGCGCGTCATCTAAGAAACACGAAAGGAGACGAAGAAGTGCCGATCAATTATTAAATTCTTATTACGAGACCGAGGGAGAAATTGAACGGGCTTCGGGGACGGCAATGGACAGCATGTTCCCGAACATCACAGAATCCGAATTTCTTCAGCTTCTAGTTAATATTTCGAAATTAGCAAAAACTTTGAAAAAAGAACCCGAAGAGAAACCGAAGGAATACTTTGTGGATACGTTAAATTACACGGTCAGAAATTCTTTAACCGCCGATCAGTACGAGATCATGAAGCTGGTGGAAGATTTAAATGAGCACACTGCGAACCGCGGTTTGCTGTCGCAGGTTGTTCAATGCGCACTCAGCTTGAGTTTCATCAGATGCGTGGGCATTTTCGTCTGGCCAGTAATCACTAGTACCGTTCCAACTTTGATCGGCTTGCTGCCCTTGCCCACACTTCCTTTCATCGGACGATCAACGGAGATTGAAGTACAGCATTTCTTCGGCATGTCCACGAACGATTTCGAGAAGGAATTATTAATGAGAAAGGAATCTATGGAAAATACCTTCTTGGAATGGTACAAGACAGCGGTGGAAGACAAGTTTCAGGTTGATCTGGGTTTCCTGAAGTTTACTGGTTACGGGAACGGCGAGGTCGGTATTAGTTTCAGTGGATTCCGCGAAGGTAGAGCTACGAAGATCAAAGACAACAAGAATTTGCCGAGTATTCTGACGATCATCAGCGACATCATGGAAGAGGTACTCGATCAGCGGCCGGACAACGAGAAGCTCAAGAAGGAAAAAGAAAAGAGAGAGAGGAGCCTGGACGACGTGCAAGAGGCGAACTTTCAGCTTCTGCAAGAGAGCGACGAGTACGCGGGCATAAAGCGATCCATGAACGACGATCAGATAATCACCATGTTTCTGGATAAAATCAAGGCCAACGCGACAGATTTCGCCGATGGTGATGTCGGTCAGTTCCTCAACGTAGAGAACGCACACAACGCCTTCAGCGTACTCTTCGGGACCCGTTTGAACGAAAAGTTTGCGAGCAGACTAAAAGCCTTTACCGAAGAGCACCTTAAAAAAAGTAATCCCGGGAAGCATGTAAAAAATCATAGCACGGAGGAACTAAAAATAATACCGTTGAAAGGAGAAATGACCTACAAGCTTGAAAAAGAATCTATGGAGAGTGACGAGGACCGTAAAAGGGAACACCGTGCGAAGAACGAATTCAGATCTTTGCTGGATGAGTATTCAGAGAAGTTAGCAAAGAAATCGGAAATTTCTATGGAGAAAATTGAGAATTCAGATAACGAAAATAGGATAAAGGACCCTGAATCGTCCTCCGAGAAGAATACACGCTCTGAACTGAGAATCCAGTTGCCACGTTTGCGAGACGATATTATATCCAGGAAAATCACGAGCGCGGCGATGCATCTCGGAAGAGCGTTGAAGATGAAGATGACCCATTTGATGCCCGGAATCGGTTTCGTAATAACTTTCATCATTCAAATGGCCTTAGCTCACGCGAGAGCGGCTGCTTCCATGGCTGGTATGATCAGCAACATGGCCCTTGCATCGGCCATGTTCGGTATGATCCGACAGAGTGTATTCGGATCAGAAAATCCGAAAATCAAATATGTATACGATAATGATAAAACGGGTCCGGGAATTACTTGGCCACATCATCATAGATCATATTATCACTATGAAAAATAGTATTTTGATTTGTCTGATCAAGTCTACTTATCGTTCTTAATGGACACTATATTAAAATCTTACGGGTCCGGGGATTTCTTGGCCACAGCACCATAGATCATATTATCATTATGAGAGAAATAATATTTTTTTGATTTGTCAATCAAGTCTACTTATCGTTTTTTTACGTATACTATATTAAAATCTTATATTAAATGTGCCTCGTTAAGAACTTTATATACGTCTCTGTCGTTACAGACTTTCCTCGAAGTCTGAAACAAATCGGATTATATATTGGGTTAGCTTTAATTCTTTATATTATTATCGTTGTGATCGCATTCATAAGAGAACATAATTTTCAGATAATTACTCAATTTATCTAACGATTCTTTACATAAAAAGATTTCATTATTTCCTGGAAAGAAATTATAGTCAAAAAATTAGATATCAATTGTTTCTGTAGACATGTATACATCCACGACATTGTCTTTCACGAAATATTTTACTTACATTATACAGCAACACAGAATTCAAATAAAGTATATTTTCAAAAATTAGAATAGAGATAATATTTAGAATCTGAAGAAACGGAATTTTCGTAGATGGTTATGGAAACAATCCCTCGCAATTTTAATCACATGCGCCATTTCGCTAGAAATATTTATTTCATTGTCATAGGGGTTTTATGGGTGGTGGGTGAAACTTTATCATATTTTCTTAAAGATTAAGATATAACAAGCACGGCATTAAAAATTATACATAATACAGTTATATCGCAGAAAAACTATTGAATTGCTAGCGTAGATCTTAAGACTGATATGTTCTTAATATCTGATTAAAAATAAATGAATTGTATCTATCTTGTATAATCATCGCTGTTTCCCTTCAAATTATAATTATTAATTAATCAATTTTAATAAGTTATTTTATTTTCTAAGAAGCATTTTGATATCAATACAATTGTAAAGTTAGGTAAAAAAAGATTTTATTATAATACAATTTTTGAAAATATTTAAGTTCTTAAAGCTTTTAAAAAAATATATATATATATTTATTTAATATATGTTTAATTTGACTTGCAAAATTCGATTAAAAAATAAATAATAAATATAATCAAATTATACATACATGTGCTGCAACATTGATATCGAAAATACCGGCGCAACAACTTTCAAGAGCCTTGAGAAGCCAACAGTCAGAAATAGACCCGAGATTATTCTGAACTACCACGCTGAAGGTCTTCTCTCTCTCTTTTCGTATATTTCCTCTTTCTTTTATTTATTTCGCCAGTTTTATGCGTTGCATGCGGCAAAAGATGTAAATACGCAACAAGAGCACAAAAGAAACCGGGATGATACGACACGCGATCGCTAGAATGTTGAACTTCTATAAAAGCAAAATAATATCTTAGAATTCTATAAACATTTTTCTCGTCTTACTGTTTCTGTAAACATTCTTTTAAATATAAATAATGTATCAATTTTTATCCCATAAAATATTGGCATTAGAGAAAAAAAACTACTTTTAAAAACTTCGCATCTGTGGAACGTAATTAACAGAGAAAAAAATAAAATTAATTAATTCCAATCAAACCTGTTTGACGTATAATAATTTGATTTAACGGTACAAATGTAAAATATGTAAATACCTAAATACGTATGTAAATACCTAACATAACGTAAAATAAGAATATTTTTAGTCAATCACGAGTGGCAAAACAGAAGGTATTACATCCTCTTGAACCACTTTCGATTCATTTTCCTCTATGATTTCTTCTGTGATCGTCCTCGATTCGATTTCCGCAGAATAGGTTAACTCATTCAAGTAATACCTGCAAAAAATTATTATATCAGAGATACATACTTACGTTTTTTGATTAATCTAACTATCGTAAAATGTACATACCATTCGTGAGCGTGCTGACAATCAATATTTTCCTCGTTCGTGCATATCCGCTGTTTCTGATCAAATACTGTATCATTAGCGCAGATCACTGGGAATCCATCGCCGGAATTTTCGCAAACGTGAAATATCCTGCAATTGTAATCCACATCGGCGTAAAAACCGGACGGCATATCTTTGCAAGTAAAGCGAAAAGTTAGATTGGCAAAGATATCGGTGTCACTTTGTTCACTCGATATCTCCTCGTAGGTTTCCAGACGATTTCTATCCTACGAACAATATAATAATTCGTAATTTTTAATTTTAATTACAAAAGCGACGATACATTAAAAATAAAATATAATTCTCGAAAAACAATTTAAAAAATAGATTCTTACGAATTGGCCCAAAGTAAATTGATTTGTCACCTTTATATCTGTGTAACAAAAGAAAAATAAAATAAAACATAATTTCAAATTTTCAAGTAATCACCGAAGTTTGATACAGCTAGTTTTAAAACTTACTCAATAATAATGAGAAGTTGAGCACGTATATTATAAAATAATTCATTTTAATCGCAATTTCTAAAGTGCAAATTTTTTAATTTTTTATGTCAAAATTACAGCTCGATATTGGCGGACACTATCACTCGATTATTACTCGACGGATAACGCAACCGACTGCGCGACCACGAGCTCTTTGTCTGAAACTGCAGAACTCGAAGAGCTCAATGACCTTAATAGCTGTGTAATTTCTGAAAAACGCCCGTCATTCTTCCTCATTATCGTTTAAACGACGCTTAACTATCGCATCCTGCTTTGTCGAATGATGTGTTCGGAGAACCAAGAGAAGTTCTCTAAGAACAAAAATCCGAGTAATTTTTTTTTCTATGAAGATATTGAAGATTAAAAAATAATAAATACATATTTGTTACCAAGAAGTTTTTGTTGAAACTTTCTGGCATAAAGGATTTAATGTAAAATTTGATTAAACTTTTTAGTTGAAGATGTTTATTTAAATTAATCTGTGTACCAACAGATGTCGGCTTCATGCCATGAATGTCGCGTGACTCCGTTGAGTACCAAGGTAACTACGTGAAGATACTTTCACTGGCATCAACCAATCCTCAGGCGCTACTTGACGACTGACTTTCTTCTACACGAGGTTTTGCCAGAATCGTTACATGTCAAATTGAATATAATATTATGCATTAAAATCACGCAGCAGTATATATTTATTTGTTTGTGTAGCGCTTCTAATTAAAAAAAAATAAAAATGCAGACTAAAAAAAAATAAAAAAATAAACGAAGAAATACTTATAACTTAATAACTTTGTTAATATCTTTATAATTTTTAATGTTATCATTACAAAGAAATTAAAATTGAAAAAGTTGAAACTCTTTCAATCATTCATTAAAACGATAAAAATTTTTTTACTACTATTTATTATTATTATATATTTTTTTCGATTATTAATTGAATAGAAAATTTCGTCAGGTCAATAACGCAGCTGATCAGCCGCGACCTTCGAAGGTACCGATTTTATCAAAATGTGATCGCGTCGAGACTGTCCGTCTTTCTCTCGCAGCAGCAAAAGGTGGGATGTCCACGAAAGGACAGCGCGTATCAACTGCCAATGAGGGAGGCCTTACTTCTGAAGCTGCCTTTCTCTTTGCCTCCGTGCCTCGACTCAGTTTTCACGGCAGCTTCAGCCAGGAACCACATGCAGAATGTCTTGAAGACACGCGGTGAAACACTCGAAACGTGTATTCCTTTCTGTTCTTCTCTCTCTCACTCTTTCTGCTCCTGCATGGTGAAAGAAAAAGGACAACCCGCTTGGCGGCGAACATGTAACCCTGAGGATACCAGCAGTGCATCCTTGAGGAAAGTCACTACGGCCTTTGCACTTTTGAGAATCGTTGGGCAAAGTGTAACAAGGTACCGCAATTAATTTTTGTAAAGAATCGGTAAAATTATTTTGTCTCTATTATCTCAAAATTGAAAAATACTCGAAAATATTGTTTCCGTAAAAATTTCACGATTCGTCGACTGGTTTTGGAATAGTTGTAGATATCATGTTAATGTCTTGTATCATTAAGAAATGGCTCATCAAGCGGTTCAGTAGGTTTGTTATATTTTTAAATACAAAACGGTGCTAAGTTTCATAATGTTCGCGGCTGGGTATCCACGTGTGTTTAGGCGCGTCATCTCTCCGCTCAGCGAACGGTGACTTCAATGCGCGCACAGAAAACGTTACGCTTCTACGTTACCCGAACTAATTATCTTTAATGTCTAACTGACTCACGAAGCGCTTTGCACTTTATTTTTATCTAGTTCATTTGCAATAATATTGCTTTATATAATTACCCTAACTTGATGTGCATTTTAATAAAACATAAGTAAAATTATTTTCTTTAGATGTTTATTATTCTTCGTTTATTATTTAACATTAGTTTTTATTTCCATTACGTAATTTTGATTTTCAGATTCTTATAGAACATTGTAATAGATTTATAAATAATATTGTTTTATAAGTTACGAATTTTATAGAATAATCAGGTATATTTTTATTTTAAGATTTTTTAAAATTATTTTGAATAATTATTGTATAGAGATGAGTATGATATTTTTTTTGGAAAAAGATGTAATGTTACAAATAAAATATTGTGTGGAGAAAGAACGTGCAGACGTAGAGTATTGCACCGTGCGGTATTCACAAGGACGACGGGTGAAACAATATTATTCGCACGTATTATGTTGAAGAAATGTACGGAAAAATGCATCTCAATTCAACGAGGGAGTTTCTTTTATAATGAGATTTAATTTTAGTATTTGTGCGTATTACGAGTTGCATTAGAGGTGCATTTTTTTTTTTTACGTAAAGTCGACTGCCTTTTGCTACGCTAACACAATAGCTCTAATTGATAGACTTTCAGAAAGTGGAGCGTGGCGCAAGTTCTTTTTCTCTCCGCTGTCGTTCTTTCCGCTTTCGAGAAGCGGAAGTCTCACGTTCGGGGAAGCCTACTCTTTATTGATGGCTTTCATCGAGTTTCTAAATATTTTTCAAGAATCGGTAAATAAATGCAAGCAAAGAGTAACGAGTAACTGTTCGAGTTACTTGTGATCCAGATACTCGAGATAATTTAATAATAAATAATTGAGTATTGCCAATGCGTTACGTCAACGGTACTAGCGTACGTTCATTTTTCTTTTACGATCCCGATACGAGTTTGGTGTCACGAGAGATCAGCGTGATTCGGTCCAGTGGCTAGTTCCTTGGTTTACGAGTTAGAAAGACCAACTGAAATAAGTGAAAGGCGCGTGTGTTTTTCTCAGTATATCGTTTTGCTTGTGTGGAACTGCTATCATCTCATCGGTTTCAGATTCGCTAGATTTTCCTGATGACAATTTAACGCTCCTATAAGTATAAATTCATAATTATACCTTTATACTCGGCACACATCTTGCTTGCGATAAGAACGATGCAATATGTACCCTCCCTCGCGTTCATAATGCAGGATGCAGATGCTGCTGTTTTTTTTTTTACATATATGCGCGCTCGTATATTATATCGCGAGCGTTGTAGACCGATGCTTGAACTAGATCACCGTGCCTTTCTTCTTGCCTGCTTGAATTACTAGGGCTGTAATAAGGCATAGTTTTCCATTTCTCAGATCGGTGGGTCCCACGATTACTTTAATTATACGCTACCGTTAATTGCGGGAGCTTCGCTGCGACGATCTCGATTGGTAGGCACGCTGGGATGTATCGAAAGTATAAATTCAACTTTCATTATTATCGCACAATTGTTAATTAATGATAAAATATATCGCAAATTATTTTTCACACAATAAAGAAAAATGTAAGGTTAGATTCATCAGAGAAATGTCGTAAATGGGGATGAGGAGTCGCATCATAATATAATTAATTATTAATAACGTTAATTGTATTTTTATCATAACCCCGATCGATCTTTATAAATTCACCCACATCGCACAGAGAGCAGATGATCTTTGAAAGGAGGTCAGTTATTATACAAAGATTATATTTGCTAATCGTCCAGGTTTCGAAAGAAGGACAATCAATCTGCAATAACCGCAGCGCAGCGTCCTGCATTGCACGCAACCATTAATTTTCTATCGAAATTTCATGCACGGTTACGCAGGTAGCTCAGCGTTTTCGCGATAATACACAGTGAAAACGCATTGGTCTAATTGCGTTAACATTTCCGGATGGACAAGTCGCTTTCGTAATTCTCTTTTGCAAGATGCGCAACGCGAGGCAAATCGCGATTGACGTACGAGTTAAACGTCTCTATGATAGCTTATAATTTGCGACGTGACAGAAAGCGTGATCGCCGTAGTTGCGTGCCTCCTTTCTAGGCTCGCGTAGGAGACGCAATCGTCAGCGCACGATCAGTGAATTAATTATGATTGAATAATGAATCGGCGAAGCGTGATCCAAGGGAGCATCATCCATGAGATCATGATTTTTGCGCGGCGTCTCTTCGCTACGCTCCAATGGTCAACGCTGCGTAGGTCAACATCGTGCGTAGGTCGCGTCTCGTCGCGTCGACACTGCCTGAAAAAAGCAGCGTCTCGTCTTCAAGGACGTTTTTGGGCTATCGTGATCTCGATAATCTTAGCGGTTAGTCACCTTCCGCGCGCCGCGCGCGGTATCGAAAGATCGCAGGATCTCGGCAACTCGCGTGGGATAATAAGCGGTGAGATCGGATCGCGAATTGAACGACTGATGTAATCGCTTTTGCTTAAACACAGGCAACAGGAACTTCGAAGGGCCGTTTAACAATTCATTCGCGAAAGATTGCGCAGAGCAATTGCGATTTCAAAGCAAGCTGCGATTTTATTTATTAGGCGCACAAAACTGCATCGTTATCGGCGTATCGATCTATTGCGTACGCGATTAACCAAGGGAGTTCACGCAGCGAAAACTTTCCCACATTTCTGACGAGACGTGCGTTGCATCACGGAGCGACTAATTGAAACATTCATCCTAAAAAATAAAGATATCACAAATTCGCACTTCGATAAGTCAAATATTGCTTTTTAGCCTTTTTGTAATATGATATGAAATATAAATGTAATACAAATTTTTCAACATAATTTGTGCAAAAATCTTTTTCTTTTTCCTCATGAGCTTGTCCTAATTATTTTTAAAGAAGAAGCTATATAAATTATAATTCTTCAAACAGTATACTTCATCATGTAAAAATTATCTTGAGAAATCTTTTCTTTTTTCTTCATTATTTTTAAAGAAGAGGCTTTATAGATTATAATTCTTTAAGCAGTATTTCCTCATGTAAAATTATCGTTATGCATTTGCACTCACAGTTATTATATAATTACAAGATGTAAGTACGTAAGACGTGTTACATAATTATGAAAATGTTAAATAGATTTCTTTTCGTTTGTGCTTCTCAAGCAGGGATTAAAATGTTATCGCCACTATTGCTGTTGGGCATGGTCGTGTCCATAATGGGCGGCTACGTGCCGCCCGGGCCGAGATTCAGGTGTCCCAAAGACACGATCTACATTTACCCCTGCACTTGCCTGCGGGGTAGCGACAGGGGTTTATACGTCCGCTGTGAGAATACGAATCTGGCCAGTCTCAGTCTCGCCTTCACGAATCTGGGAAACGAGGGCATGCCGATCGAGGAACTGGTTCTGTACAAATGTAATATAGGTGAGTCGAGATTTAATATCATGTCCTAGAAAAATGGAGAGATACGCGTATGACATTCTTGC